TTGAAAGCAATGTGAAAAAAAGCAGTCATGTGGAATTTCGTGAACCACTGGCTTCATACAGGTTAGTGCTGAGGCAGTTGACTGTTAAAAGAAAAATATGCTAAGATCAAAATTAAGCTAATAGTGATGTTTTTGAAAGCTCCTCAAAAAATTATTTGCTTCCTCCCCTCACCCACCCACATGACTAGCATGTGGTGTTGGACAAAAGTGTTTTCCTTTAAAAAAAATATTAAATAAAATACAAATTTATTTATCATTCAGTGAATGTGTGTTTAAAGCCAGATGTCTTGAAATAGAGCCAGATCATCAACTTGGTGTGACTGTGGCCTCAGTGGCCTGATAAGTTTGACAGGTATTTTTACTACTATTATCTACTATTTACTGTAGTGATAGGACAAGGGGTAATGGGTTAAAACTTAAACAGGGGAAGCTTAGATTGGATATAAGGAGGAAATTCTTTCCTGTTAGGGTGGTGAGGCACTGGAATAGGTTGCCCAGGGAGGTTGTGAATGCTCCATCCCTGGCAGTGTTCAAGGCCAGGTTGGACGAGGCCTTGGGTGATATGGTTTAGAGCGAGTTGTGCCTGCCCATGGCAGGGGGGTTGGAACTTGATCATCTTAAGGTCCTTTCCAACCCTAACTATTCTATGATTCTATTTTGGTTTAGTTATAAGGACTAAAAAGAGTATTTCCTCCTGTTTATCCAACTTTGTTTTATTAGTTCTTCATCACATATTTCCAAATTTTTTATCATAAGACAGTGTATAGCAAGAACATTTAAGTACTAATTTTGCATTCAGTTCTTTTGTGTGAGAAACCCAAATAAAAATAGCTGTATCAAGGAGAAGAAGTGGCGTGGAATATTTGAGAACATAAGGCATGGTGGGGTATGAGGAATGAAGGAAAATATGGAAAGCCTGTTTTTCTTAGTGTATGTTAAGTGCTGTACGGTGCCTTAAAAACTTAGAGAACATGCAGTCAAAATAACTCCCTATAACTTGCTGTAATATCAGAGCCTAAAAGACTTCTAGCATAACTTCTTTAATTCTTCATGAGTTTTAAGCAGTGTGTGTTCTTTGCACAGGCATCCCTGATGATTAGCTTTGTTAGGTTCCTAATAGTCTGTTTATTGGATTCTAACGCACAGTTTGAGTATTTTTCTAAATGTTCTCACAATGATTTGGGGGTTGCTGATGGCTGATTAGAGTGGAGTTGGGACAGTGGTATTTTTTTTTTAATTCTACTAGGTCTCTATTAATAATCATTATCCTAAGACCTGAATTTTGGTCCCCTTTTCCACTTCTTGCCAGCTGTGAGGCTTTTTTCCCTTGTTTGTTGCATGGGAGGCTGATGTGAATCAGTTGTGTAATCTCTGGTCAGTTTTATTGTCTTCCCTATCTGCAATAATTTACATCAGTTATTTGTGTCAAAACTACATAGTAAATTTAATGGAATTTGGGGAAAGCAAGAAAATGAGAGCAGCTAGACTCATGCTGTTACATCCAGGTGGAAAGAATGGCTTTTTTACAGTCAAAATACTATGTGGTGCTGGGGGCAATAATTTGGGAAGTAACATCAGAGCTGCTAGGTTAACATATTACTCCTGCTCTAAGAGCAGCCTGTAGTCAATGCTTACAGTGTGCATAAGTAAACAAAACCCAGAAAGCCAGATTAATGGGTAGAACAACCTGCTTCTCTGTATATTTATATGTAGTTTTGGTGAAATTTTGTGCATTTAAACCACGCAACTGTTTTGTTGGTTGGTAATGATTAGTGCACTATGTAACAGCAGTGTGCTGTTAGAGAAAGAGCGGTAGACAATTTCACAAGTACAGTGTTATGACTTGGCTTCAGGTCAGTTCTTTAAACATACTTGCTGAAGAAGCAAACCAGGTAGCTTAAGTGCCAGGTTTTAGTAACTTCAGCCCTTCATTGGTGAAAACATTAAATACATCATATACAAAATGCTAAGAGATCCTCAGTTTGTTGAATTTTTAAGCTCTCAGTAGGCTTTATATTTGTTGCAGTACATCCCGTTCAGTCTGAAGTTCTTGTCAGGGGCTTGCCTTTTTAATGCTCAAATACAGGACAGGGTTTTCTTGTCCATTTTATTTGTTTTCTCAGCTAATGACTGCTGTCAAGAAACTGGGCATTGCTTTGTTTCAGAAAACGGCTATTAATTATACTTCTCAAGTTTTACACTTATTTTTTAATGTAAAGGTTTTTTTTTAAACTGAGGGGCAACATTACTGTTTGCTGGTTTTCTACATAACCTAAGTTCAGCTTTTCAACTTTATATATAGTCATGTTGAGACAGAGAGTGCAGAAAATGAAATCTTTAATAGGAAACCTCTTTCAGTTTCATCACACTTGCACTATTAAATGTGTGGTGATCAAACTTTAAAAGAGCTTACCTTTAAAGTGGAGATGAGGTATAGGAAGTCATTCTTGCAGTTAATGAGTATGTTGATTGCTGGGTTGGAAGGTCGTATGGTTGCATTTCTGATGGTGACTTCTTTTTTTCCTTCTATTGCATCAGGGATACATACAGTTCTCTCTCTCATCATGGTTCCAGCCAACTTGAGGCCAGTCAGTTGCTCTCTAGTTTGGACTTCAGCGAAGCACAAGGGAAGATGGAAATAATAAGCCGTATGATACATGACCGAGATGAGCGGGATCTACAGAGCAGAGGTTTTGAAAGCCCATGTTCTTCTGCTGCAGGCGAGACTGTTGTTAGGTATTTGAATGACCGACCAGCAATTGATGCCTTGCAGAATAATGAGGCATTTCTTAAGGTTGCAACACCTCCAAGATTGGATGAGGAAAAAACTAGTGGCTCTGGAGGAGATGAGAGTAGCACTAAAACTCCTCAGAGTAACACATCCCAGGACAGTGAACTGAAAGCATCTTCCTCTTCTGCCACCAGTACTTCTAGTGCTCATAGGCTGGAGATTTTGAAGCGGCAACAGCATGATGCTAAACTGGAGAAGCTGAAGGAGCGGATTCGGAAGCAGTGGGAGCATTCTGAAGAGTTGGGTGTCAGAGGGCAGCACTCAGGCTATGTTGAGCAGCCTGTTGTGATCACAAACATGGAGAATACAGTAACTCCCAAAGTCAGGAAAGTGGCAACTGCAGCTGCTGCTCCATCATACAGAGGTATGGAGGTGCAGAATCCCTACCTGTTGGTTATACATGGTGAAAGAGTAGAGTTCAATTCATTGAGCAACACATCAAAGCATGGATGTGACTCATAACTGTGTTTGGCAGTACAGAAGTGGAATAGCATGGTTTGATCAAAGATATGGACAAGAAAAAAAGGAAATTATTGCCTATTTAGAGAAGTGTGGATTCTTTTGAAATTTTTCCTGTCTCATTCCACATTACTGTATAAAAAACCCACACTGTATTAGCATTTAATTTTATTTTAGTATGGTTTTTTTTGTGGTCCCAGAGCTTATTGATTGAGAAAGCCTTTCACATTTTTAATAATCTTTTCTTCACGCAGTCTACTGTTTTTTCAACTGTGCACAACTGCCAGACTTTCTTACTTGAAGTTTCCCACCCCTTCCACCACGAGAAAGCTTTATTTACATCTTGTTGCAGTTATTTTAAGTTCCTGAATTGTTTACTTTCAGGTTTCAATGCAGCTGAAACAAGAATTCGCACTCCAGATGGGAAGATCTGGCATGAGGAAAAATTTCACATTAGTCGGGAGTTGTATAGAGATATAGCACTACAGTTAACAGGTGAGATACAAACTGAATTGATTAAACCACACAACCTGTTCTTAAGAGGCAGAAAAGTATATTTTTAGTAACTCTGCAAAGTCCTGGAAACAAAAAATCGAAGCAATGAGTGTTAAATATATTGTATTCTTTACATGGGAGGAGTAACTCACTGAACTCTAAAATGAATACAAAAATCCATCTCCCCATTCTCTCATTAAAATACTTTTAATAGGAAACCAATACTGAAAAGAATCAAATGATGTCTTTTCTTTGAAATAGACAAAAAAGCAAACCACAAACAACTCTTTGTTAGAACAATTGTCATTTAAGTTTGTAACTTCTTTATATGCGTCTGCATGAATGAGTGCAATTTCCTGTTAAAAGCACAAATCCAATCCACTTTTGGTTTTGATGAAACCTGTATTCACTCATGGGAACAATCTGAGGTTATTTTTGGCATTTTAAACACCATTAATGTGATACAGTGTTACGTTGGAGGCTGCATTCTGCATACTTCAGTATGTTATTAACACAGTGTTGGACCTGAAGCTGCTGTGGGAATTGTTAGTGGTTTAATTGGAACATACATGTAGCTAAAGGGGAGATGGGAGTTGTCTGCTGTAGAAGGTCTCTGGGAATCCTTATTTAAAATGGGGTAGGTAGCCTGCAGTAAGGGTGGTGGTGAGTTTATATGACATGAAGTTGATTTAATATCTCTGAACTTGTAGAACAGTATTATAACTGTTGGAGAAATTTGTATCCTAAAGATTTGCACACATGCACTTTTTTTTAGAGGTCTCTTACATGAATTCCTTGAGGAGGGGAAGAACAGATAGATCAGGAAGATTTAAGAAATCTTGTAAATATTCTATGTTTTATTTCTTGTCAACTTTTACCTTCAGTATTATAAGGCATGGATAGGATGTGGGGTGAAAGACTGAATGACTTTGCATTGAGAAAATAACAGAATCTGTTAACTTTGGGATTTATTCCACATGAAGGTGTAGGAAGGAACCTTAAATGCTAAAAGCTTAGAAAACTGTTACTCAGTCCTCTTTGCCTAATGGTCTTTTGAAAAACATTAAACACCATTGTTGCAAAATGTCAACACAGGAGAAAAGATCTCTTTCTAGGTGATGAGTTCATTTAGCAACAAAGTATTCTGACACTTAAATCTGTGAGCAAAAATAATTAAAAAACCTGTATTTACTTAACAGTTACATTGCTAAAAGACCAACAGTGATAACATGCGTTATGTCCTCAAATGTAATGCTCCAAGTCACAGTCTTTATTAATTTTTCAGTTTGGAAAACTGTAGTATGATTGGCAGCTCATTTCTCTGGGTAATGAAGGGTAGGATGCTCAAGTGTGCATTTTAATTTGCTAGGCTGGTTACAGTGGAGTGCTGTAAGGTTGAGTTGCTTTTGACTGACTTGGGAGAGGGGGAGGAGATACTAGGTGAATGAAAAGGAAGGAAATGGAAAATCAAATCCCTTAACAGCCTATAGTTTTGCAGCTTAAGAATTTGTGTATTAAAAATAACCTTTCTTATTGAGCAATACATTCAAGACCAGAGGAGTATGTGATGAGATTGTAAACTTGTAGGTGTCTTTGTATGCTGATAGTATAGTGGCTGGTATAGAAATTATTAGATTCCAGTACAACTTGACAAGATGCTAAGGAAATTTTCTGGAATCACTCATAAAAACCTCTTCTTGAGAAAGAAGAGCCACTTCTTTTCAGTAAGGTTGTTTTTCAAATACTCTGTTCAGCATCAGCCTGTGAAAGTAGTGAAGCCTATGAAAATTTCCAAAGACTTTTAATCTACACTCGCATTTAATTTTGGGGGTTTTTGTAGTTTTGACAAGCAAAATATAAATAATTAATGAGCTTTTTGTAGAAATCAAAATTTTTTAGAAGTTTCATTGAAGAGGTCTTATTAAAAAGGCATTTGGATAATGTGTTCAGTGGACTTCTGCCTACAAAAGCAAGAAGCTGTGTGTGCATTCACCCATATTCCTGTTTTGATGCCATGCAAAGAACAGCTGTTGTGGAACATGTCTTCTTTCTGACCTGAAAAGATAATACTGAATAGCTGATTCCAAGTAATCAGATGCTGGTGCTGTACATAATATATTCTCTAAATGTATTTTTAGATTTTTGGATTATCTATCTATGTGTTAATTCTGTATTAAAGGTACAGCCTTTAAATTACAGCCTTAAGGTTTGGGTGTGTACAGTCAGTTGTATCAAAAGTGGTCTGTGTTCTGTGGTGCTAAAATAAGCTGTAATACCTCTTATATCTTGAGAAGCATTGTTCTTTACTGTAACAAGATTTTTACATGTAAGTGTAGAACATACAGAACGTCTTTTTCTTTGTTTAGCAGTTAGGCTGAAGGACTTGTATGGACCCCAAGCTTCCAGTAATTCTGTCTGAAAGATGTTCAGGACTTGCAGTACTAAAACAAAACTGCTATAATATGAATAGAGTGGGAGGCAGCCTGCAGTTTCCTGGTATCAGGAAGGAACTGTTTTTCACTGGAAGAGGTGAGGAGGCAAGCTAGACTTCTGTAAATGCAGTCACTGAGGCCACTAGTACTTGATGCATTTATTCTGTCTTCCCTGCACTTGTAAGCCTCAAAGACGACTGGAAAATTTGTAAGGAAAGGATGTTAAAAGGGAGAAAGACTCTTAAAATTCCTTTCCTACATCCTTTAATAAGACCTGTTGTTCTGTCTCTTATAGTTCCTATGGACATCCACTAGAGAGCAGATTCAGCTGAAATTAGTGACTGTAAAAGTATTGGCATCTAAATAATGCCTCAGGTCTGTCCATGGAGAGGTTATTTTAGGTTGTCGATCACACTCTTTCTAAAGGGGTACAGGAAAACAGTGATTGTAATGGCCATGGAGTGCCTTATCATTTCAGGATTGAGAGCATCTTCAAGGCATGCAAACTGAAGTGCTTTAAGAAATCTTTGAACATGTCTGGTGTAGACTGCTGAGACCGAACATATAGCTTGCCTCTCCTTCTTGAGTAATGTTTGTCTCTGCTTTGCACCTTGAGGAGCTGGGAAACCCACTCAGTGGGGTGGTGGTTGAGCCACATTTCTGGTTTCCTTTTTTTTTTTTTTTTTTGCCCCAACATGAGAACATGGTAAAATATGACTTTGGTAAGTGTTCCTGGCATCTCTAAAGCCAAAACCTAACTGTGTTGTAGATGAGGGCTTAAGTAATACAGAATAGTTCTGCATTGCTGGGTGAATTCTATGACAAGTTTTGCAGAAAGTAGAGTACACGGGTATCCTGTCTTTCATGCTGCAGCATGGCAGCAACGAGTGAATGTGCTCTCGTGGTAAAGTGGAAACAGCAGCCTGTGCGTTTCAGAAGCTGAAGGAGCTACATGTTCTTGTGGAACATTAATACTGAAAAATATCTGTAGTAGAAGCAAACCAACAATTGTTCCTGCCAAACTGTTAGCATTTCTTTTAAAATTTAACATGAACTTTGTAAAGATCTATTATGGCATTGCTGTGCGTTTGCTGCATTCCAGTGGGTAGGTAAGCAACATTTGGTTTAAAGTTTTCATGCTACCAGGATTTTAAAATGCTGGACTGGGAGTAGTTGGTCTCAACATATAATGTGTGAAAGTCAGCGAATTTTATTGTGTTTTTCTGAGTTCCCTTTTTTTTAAGGTAAATGTTGAAGCAAGCTTGTCATTCTATGTTCTTTACTATGGGATATCACTAAACAGTTTTTGTTTGTTTTTAGAGCATTCAACAGTGAAAGGAAAACCTAGTGAGAGAAACAAAGAGAAAAAAACAACCAGACCAGTGCGGAAAGTACAAAAACTGACACGGTTGTCAAGTCCAGAGTCCAAACAAGGTGACTAGCTCTACTGTAGGGGGAAGGCTGTCACTTGTCCATCAGAGATGAGGTGTCTCAAGAAATTAAGAGAAATAAAAGCATGTTACTTTCCAAGTCTTCTCAGATCTGTGACAGTGCTGTTGTAGTGTGTTTGTAGACTATATGCTGCACTGGGGATGTGTGTGGTTTTGTTACTGGTTGGTTGGCTGTATGTGCTATTTTTTGTTTGTTCTAATTTTCTGCCTCTCCACTTGCTGTGCGCACTTTATGGAAACTGCTAAAGAGCATGTATTTCTTGGGGTGTGGGGATGGGTATCCTTAGGTACCAGTCAGGCTAACACAGACAAAAAGTAGCAATAGCTCTGTTCGGATTCTTCTTCTGTTTTGCTTGTGTCAAAGCTGATTAGTGCCTTCTCAACTAATGTTGAGAAGAGGAATGGCAGTCGTATTGAAATCAGTGCCAGTGGGATTTGTCAGGTTGACCTCCTCTGCAAAGAGGGGCTGCAGCAAAGGCTGTTCACTTGCATGATTGCTCAGTGGAGAAGCAGAGAACAGATGTCCTTCTGGCTTTTCTCTGGCTGTTGCCCTTCTATGTCCTTTGTCAAGTTGTTGCTGTCCTGCACCCTTAGTTCTGGCTTGACCCGTTCCTGGCTTTTTAAGTTAGTGAAACTTATAAAAACCTGTTCCTTGACAAGACTTACAGATTTTGATATTTTTAAAGGAATGTTTATTTCTTTAACCAATTAATTTTTTCCACTGTTGTCTGATATTTCCACTGTCTGTCAAGTAAAATTAAAGTATTAGGAGAAGACTGTGAGATTACTATAAGGCACTCCTCTACAGTAGAAAATTGAGTTAACTATATGTGCAATTCTGTCAGCACTTCTTCATTTTCCAGTAATGTTAATCTTTGATTGTGTGTAGCAAAAGAATTAGGAAGACTTCCACATCTGCTTTGCATTTGGTTTTATTTTTCATACAAAGTAAGTGGTTATGACTGCAATCCCATTACAGAGTAGGTTTTTTTTTCTTTGAATACATGTGGTATTAGGTATCTCTTGCACCTCTAAAGATTTGATTTCTCCTTACATACAGTGACCCATAATTGGTAAATACTTTGTTGGAAAAAAAAAAATGCTTTAAAAAATCATTGCAAAGATTTTTTTTAGTGAATGTGCTTCTGCAAGCTGTAAATCATGAAGCTGCATGTGACTATTTTGTGATAATGAATCATAGAATCATAGAACCATAGAATAGTTAGGGTTGCAAAGGACCTTAAGAGCATCTAGTTCCTCCCCCCACCCCCGCCATGGGCAGGGACACCTCACACTAAACCATGCCACCCAAGGCTCTGTCCAGCCTGGCCTTGTTGAACACCGCCAGGGATGGAGCAATCACAACTTTCCTGGGCAGCGCATTCCAGTGCCTCACCACCCTCACAGTAGAAGAACTTCTTCCTTATATCCAATCTAAACTTTTCCTGTAAGCCCTCTTCAGATACTGGAAGGCTGCTGGGTGGTCTCCGCGCAGCCGCCTCTTCTCCAGTCTGAACAGCCCTGACTTTCTCAGCCTGTCACTTAGAGTGATAATATGGTTTTGCTCCTTCCTGTGCTGATCAGTTCATACTTAAGGAACAAAACTATCTTAACTTACGTATTTGTGACAGTTCCTAGTAATGGGGGAGCGCAAAGATTGCTGCAAGTTTTAGTGCTATGATTATTCTCCGTAATGGATTAAATGTGAGGAGAATGATGTCCTGAAATCCCTAGAAGATAAAAAGCATAACTGAGTGGTATATCTGTGATGGTCTGTCTGCCTCCAGTCATGGCAATAAGAAAATGCTTTACATAGCCAAGGCTATAAATAGCCAGAGCTCATGTTCTGCTCTGTTAGCGTGTTTTAGTTCCAACAGCTGACTTGAAATGGAAGATGAGACTTTACACTGCCTTTTTAAAAGCACATAGAAGTAATGGAGAACAGTGAGTTCCACAAGAGAACCACTTTGATACATCTGTTTCAAAGAGGCTTGTAGTGATGTGTTTTAGGTGACAGATTTATAAAATACTTGGGTAATTTACAATGCAATCAAAGAATACTGTTAGTGAATGGAAGAATAGTGAGCTATAGACTTCTGACTGAGCAAGTTTCCTCCTGTTTTATAATAACAAAAACAAAAGGAGGGGGACAGAGTGTGGAAATTAAGGACTCGGATTACTGAAACACCGTTGTTCTGCTGGCCTGGATTTCACTTGAAGTTCATTTGGATTTTATCTTCAAATCCTGTTGGGCCCAGACAACAGTCTCTTTTACTTTGGCTGTGTGGTTTTCACGCTGCAGTGTTTGGGTTTGTTTAGTCAGTGCTGTCAGAGGTAGAACCTGAAACTGAATGGTTAGAAAGCAACTGCAGATTGTAATAAGATACTGCTGAATTGTCTGAAGCAGGGTATTAATGGTTTTATTTTTTTATATGATGCTTTTCTCCAGAGCTCTTTAAGGTCATTATTAAAAAAATAATAAAAAATTAACAATATTGGAAGTTATTGGGATGAAAGGTTTGCTGAATAACAGCATTTGATCAAACCAGTATTAGGTAAAGAAGCCATCATACCCAGTTTTTTATCATATAATTATATGTGGTATGATATAATAATACTAATAACATTTTGATTTGGCTTCTGTCACAAGGTAGTCTGCTCTTGAATTAAGTATCGACTAATAGCATTTATTTTAAATATTTTCAGTCTTAGTATGGAAATCCCAGATGGAGGACAGAGTGTTAGCATTGGCTTAGAACAACTGCTGCTCTCTATTTTGTCTAGCCTCTCCCAAGACACGTATTGCAGTGGTTATCTGAACATTTCTGAAGGTTGTTTTTTCCCCTTAGAGTAACAACTAATGTTCTTTTTGTATGAAGGTGAATTGTTCTTTATCTCCCACCTTTATTGTTGTTCTTTTTCTGTTCCTTTTATTTGTTCTTATTTTCCTTATTTGAGTGAAGATGAACAGCTTCTTCTCAGACCTCTACAGATATTTTCCCTCACCCCAGTAACATTTGGTTATATGGTTTAGACCTGTGTAATCCCCCCCCCTTTTTTTTTCTTTTCCTTTTTTCTTTTTTAAATCAAGTTTTGTAGGGCATTAATGTGCTACAGTGGGGTTTGGATGTTTAGATTGTGTTAGGCATGAAGCACTGGTAGTTGTGTGAGCTGTTGAGTGTCTTTGTGGTACATTAATGTTATGCCATAACTGCAGTCCTACCACTTACGCCAGAACTAAATGGTATAGAAATAATCTGTGGCTGCAATAAATATTGTTTAATATGTTGGAAAATCCATCTGATGCTTGACTTTTATTTATTACTTACTGTACAGGTGGAAACTATGTAATAAATGCATCCTCCTGGCGGGAGGGACAAAAGCTAGTAAAAAAGATACTGGGTCCAGCTCCCAGAATAGAACAGGACAGAAGAGCTGTATCTAGTGACAGAACAGGACGAGAGAGAGCTGCCAAGACTGGTAAGTTGTACTTTTATTGCTGGACTTTTTAATTTTTAATATTTTTTTTTTTACTACTTTATTACGTAACACTGTGTGTCTGCAGAATAAGGCAGACTTCTGAGATAGAATTAAATCAGGTTCTTATTTTAGTAACTCCTATTTTTAACCTGGGATTTGGGGGAGGGATTTTGCTCATGTCCACAGTTGTGATGGATAACCTCTCTTTCTGGGTGGATTATGAACTTTGCTTGGTGTCATGGGAAGCTTACCCTATGAATATGACTTGAGGTACGTTACATGCTGCAAAGGTGCTCAGGAAAAGATGGGAGATAAGTTTGCAACCAAAAAAATAGTTCACCTGCAGTCAGTCTTTACCTCTTGAAGCTAGCGAGGAAAGGAATGGCTAGCAATGGTCCACAGGCCCGATGAACTTTCCAGATATGCTGTATATAATATGTAAGCTAGAATTGGGCATCCCTGTTTTACAGGAATTGGGGTTCTTCCAGATACTATCCCATCACCTATGTGCATCATAAATCTTCACTGACTCCTCCACCAACCCTTTTTAGAATTTATCCAGAATCTCAGACAGCACAAGTAAGGAATGGTGGTAGCTGTGATGCTTCTTACTGCCTGTGAGGTGGTGAGGCTGGTTAAGACTATAAAGGGTGTGAGCTCAGTCGAAGCAAAGGCTACTGTATTCAGATTATGACACCGAATGAAGCAAAAGCACATTTACAGTGAGATTTGCACTCCTCCCTCATCCCCACTTCTGCAGCTGTTGCAATGTTCTCATGCAATTTCCTAAATTTTATTTTTACCTGAAATATGTGACTAGTCTTATTCTTTAGCAGGCTGTATTGGAAGGACAGGCTCAGATTCTAGACTGGATGTTACCTGTAAAACCTCTTCAAGAAGTTTTGAAAGGTCAAGAAGTAAAGTACGTTCCGAGAATAATCTGAAGAAACTGGAAGCTGCTCTTCCAGATGATAAGCAAGAAGATCATGCTTCTGTAAATAAAGACTTCCTGCCCATAGAGATACGTGGAATTCTCGATGACTTGCAGCTGGATTCCATGAGTACAAAGCAGGAGAAAGATGGGGAAAAGCAGAATCAGAAATCTCTTTTGTCCACTCAAAATGCCAGGAGTCACAGTCCTACCAAAAGGAAACCGGACAAGATAGCCGCCAGTGAGGAGCCTCAGGTGATCTCTAAGAAACGTCACTATGATACAGATGAGGTTCGTCAGTACATCATCAGGCAACAAGAGGAGAGGAAAAAAAAGCAGAATGAAGAAAAGAAAGCACAGAAGGAGGCAACGGAACAGAAGAACAAAAGGCTCCAAGAGCTTTACAGAAAGCAGAAGGAGGCTTTTACTAAAGTGAAGAATGTGCCTCCTCCTGAGCCTTCAGCAGCCAGACGGTTACAGGAAACCTATTCTAAGTTATTGCTGGAACGTACAATTTTAGAAGAGCCACCTCAGCTGCCTGCAGTGCAGGAAACACAGGTAATAGCTGATTCACTAACTTGTGTTGCAGTTGTTTGCGGGAATAGGAGGTCATATGTTTAGGAAGGTCATGAGTTGGTCCAGTTATCAGTTAAGAAAAAGGATAGAAGGAAAAGTATAGATTTTGTTTGAATATAGTGGTTTTGGTCTGGACCCTCCTTGCTAGTGGCTGCTTTTTGTCACAACAAGGCCTATAAGAAAGGTGATTGGAAATCACCTTTCTGTTACAAATAGAAGCAGAATTCTGGATAATAACTAAAAGCAGCTATAAAGGTTGTCTGTTAAGAAAACTGAAGTCCAACTCTGAATTGGAGAACTTTTAGGTTGCTTTCAGTCAGTGGACAAACTTCAGCAGTGAGTTAAATTTGCTAATCAGAAACTGAACATGAAAAAAAAGATTAATATATGGTAAAAGACTAATATCAGTTTGATGGGTTTGGCTGAACTAGTTAAGTATGTAAGCAAAGCTTTTTGCTTTTTTCCCAGTACATTTTGCTGAGACAAAAACATAAACGTCTTGTGTTTTTAAGTCTTTGTGTGGTAGGAAAGATGGGATACTACACTGAGAAATGTAAGCCTTTTCAATTTTAAAAAGACAAGCTTCTAAACTCCTACAGATTCTGAAAATTCATTTTTCTGGTTGTCTTCATTTCTAGCCCAGACCTGGTTATCAGCCATCTGGGGAATCTGACAAAGAAAACAAGGCTCAAGAGCGTCCTCCAAGTGCATCTTCAAGTAGTGACATGTCACTTTCGGAACCGCAGCAGCCGCTGCTGAGGTGAGCCACTGTGGGCCTTTCCTCTTTCTCTCTTTTCAAGTACTACAGTACTTAGATGTTGGCTTTTCATTTCAGGACCGATTTGATGGAACCTCCATGGATACAGCCAGACAGGTTGAGCCCAAGAGTCCAGCTCTCTCATCCATCAGCGCTCATGGCCTCAAGTGGAGGCCCTTGCTCCCAACACTGGAGTCTGGAGCAGATGGATATTTTGTCTAAGGAATGTGATGCAGTGTTGGCAGGCAGGAGGAGCCATGCTGCACCCATGGGATCACTGACCTTGATGCCTCAGCTGTACCTGAATTCACCTGCAGCGCAGCAAAACTTCTTAGTGAAACCAACTTCTAACCAATATAAGAGCAAATTAGATCGGATTGAAGCTTTGAAAGCTACAGCTGCTTCGCTTTCTAGCAGGATTGAAAGTGAAGCCAAAAAGTTGGCTGGGGCTGGCATCAATTATGGTACCATGTGGAACTCTGACCATGAATTCATGCAAGAAAAACAGGATGATGGGCAATGGGCAAAGGCTGTGAGTCCTCCTGTGAGAGAGGAAAATGAAGATGCTATTTCAGCCAGAATTCAAAAAATGTTGGGTACCTGTATGTCTCATACAGCCTTTGATGACAGCCTTCCTGGTGCAGGCAACCTTAGTGAATTTAAAAAGCTCCCTGACTCTATCAGGCCTCATGCTGATGTAGTCAGCCTTGGAATGAGGTCCCCTGCTGCTAACAGGCATGAAGGGATACCAGGAAATTTATGTAAGAGACAGACAGACTCCCCAGGGCATGAAAACCAGGCTTACACTCTGAACAAAGCTGTAATTCCTCATGAGTCCAGCATTGAGTCCATCAGCGAAGGGCCTCTCCTAAGTGACGGAAGCCTCTCTGAAGAGGAAGTAGGGCAGCACAAACAGTTGCCACTGAAAATGCTGGAGACATTAAAGGAGAAGGATTTCTGCATTCGGGAGAGAAATGCATTTGAGCCCATAAAGGAGTTTCAGAAAGCAGCTGAGAAATATTTGCCACTTTTCACTCAGACAAGTGATGCACACAACAAGGGGCCATGGGAGGAGCTGGTTAAGGGGAGTCCTCACAGTGTCATCAACATCTTTGCAAAAAGTTATCAGCTTCATGGAAAAGGTAAAATCGGAAAAAATTCTCAAAGTTCTTGTGAATTTCTGTTTTCCCAGTTTTACTATTTCATACACTTTATACTTCACAGGTAAGGAATGTGCTTTTTAGGTGTCTCAAACATGAATCTGTGCAAGGCTTTCTCACTTTACTTTCGAATGATAAATTACTTCCCCTTGCCTTCTTTTGCTGCCTTGTCTATGGAAAAAGAAAAAAAAAAACACATGCTTTTGGGCTGGAAGAATATTATTTTAATATTAGATGGCTGTGTGTTTCTAGATCAGTAGCTAATTCATATATACTGGGTTACAGTTATTAAGGATGCCCATAGTTACGGAATTATGAATGTAAAGTTAATTGTATCCAGAATTACATGCTAAATTTGAATTGCCCAGAATGCATTTGGAAATGGTCTCTCCACTATGCGAACAGACCCTCTGGTTTGGAATGTGTATCCTCCTATTATGTATGCAGTCCAGATCATCTGTAATAAGATGCCATCCCTGTTTCAGTTAAAGCAGAAAGATGAAATGCATGCTTTATGCAGCACTTTGTGGTGTAAACATAAGTGTCGTAAACTTGCTATGCAAGAATATAGCTTTACTATGCAAGAATATAGCTTTACTATGCTGTTGCCGTAAACTTTACTATACAAGAATATAGCTTAACTATACTAGCTTCAGTGGGTGAATGATGTGCTCTTTCCTTTTGCATCTTTCCTCATACGAGTTACTTGATAATGCCTCAAAGTTGTGCAGCAATTAAAACTTCTCTAACAATACTGGATCTTGAGAAAATAAGGGACAGTCTCTTGTTTAAATGAGCCCTTTCAAGTGTTAATGTCTTAGGGCATGCTTTACAAGTGTCCCATGCAGAACACGTAATTTGATTTTAATTTTTTGTACAAATTCATTCTTCATTTTATGAGTAGTTTCTCTTGCCTTGAGTTCCTAAGTTTGAGCAGTGTTTTCTAAGAAGTTGCTTTTTATATTCACTTGGGTTTTTTTCCCATGATTTTTTTTTTTTTGCTTCATTTTATTTCCCTTAAATATTATTGCATTTAAATTTTCTGCATGGTGGCTCTAGTCAGGCACTGTGCTCTTCAAGAATGTTTTAGCTGGAGTTTGTTAATGCAGTATTCAATTCATAATTTACAAAAAGAGGACTGTGCTTGTTATGTTGCATTAAAACTGCCACAGGACAGCTGCACCGTTTTTCTCCTGATGTTTTTGTGTTTGAAAGGAAGTCTTTGTAACTCATGGTTGGGAGCATTATAATTCCTGTAGCTTTAATACCTGCTTGATGCACACTGTCATTTTGTGTCATTTTTGTTTTTTCCTTTCTTTGTCCACGTTTTAGTGTCTGATGAAAGGTTGAATGGAGGGTCTGCCCTTCTACACCCTTTACTTCCTGCCATGAGCCCTCCGGAGAGTGTGGTTTCTTATGAAGATGATTTTGTCTCATCACAGGGAAGTGGCACTTTAACAGACAAAAAGATTGCACATGACCTCAGGTAGCTGCATGTTAGACTTCTTGTTAAAATCAAAATGCAGAATTCAATAGAAAGTAGTTAATGCAATATTTGTTTCACAGTATGCTGGATATCTTTTCTGTTATGCTGTATGGTAATACTAGTCAAAGTGATGAGGTACAACTTTAGGACCTTTGCAGTTAATATAACAACCAGCATGTCGTTATATATATTATATATATATGTAAGACACAAAAATTAGAGTCAAATATTCTTGTTCTCTGTCTAATTTTTGTTGTTCTTTAGTCTGGCCAGGTAGCTTTAGGCAAGGTTTTTACCCATTGTAGTCAGGTGAAAATTAGTTCTCCGTATCGTTTTGCAGCTCTAAAGCTCAATTGGTTAGTCTTTGTAATTTGGGAAAAAAAAAAAAAGAGAAAACATTTGAAAATTATAAAATATCTTCAGTACTTCAAAAAAATTTTAAAAGCCTATAATTGCTTTCAGTAAAGGTTTGGTAATGCTTAGTAAAGGATAGGTAAATCATCTGTAAGAACTTTTAAAACCTTTCTTTCAGGCTAAAGTTTGAAGACTGCAAATCCTAGGCTCTCCATGTTACTACTGACTTCATGTCATGGTCCTGAATTTCCTAAGACCCCTTTGTATTTCATTTTTTTTCTTTTTTGGATTGAGAGATATTTACATCTTCTGGGCACCTCAGAGAAGGCCAGAAGTACTGTTTTTATACTTTTTATATAGTAATACTTTACCTCAGAAGAAAGGAAGGTAGAAGGCATTTTGCAACCTGAAAACAAATGCAAAAAGGGTTTCTTTCTGATTAAACTTCTTAATAGGTCTTCTCTTGGTATTATTTGTTATATAATGCGTTGCAATCTTTTTTTGCAAATCCTGTCTAATCCTTTATTGAAAATCACTGTTATTTCTGTCAGTTGATGATACTTGTATGCACAGAGATTATTTAAAATGCAGTTTTACTTGGAGTCATTCTTAAGTTCAGATCTGTAGTCAAATAGTTCTGAAGAGTTTTTAGCATTGGAAAGGAGGGTTGTTACCCATCTTTTACGGTTTCATGTTGTTGGAAGCATGTCTCAATATGTTCAGTATCACATCAAACTTTACTAGTGTCTCAGCTGTCATAGTTTTTAATTTTAAAATCAATGCTTTTCAAGTTGGACTAATTAGTCTAGTTTTAGCCATCTGTCTAATTAAAGTGTAGTGGATTTCTTGTGCACAGTGCAATGTGGGAGCTGGAAATCCATAGTTAATCACTGTCAATGTGCTCCTTTTTAGTGTTGCTGGCAGCAGTAATTCAAGCATTCAGGAAGAAGTTGCGAGTAGGAAGTCTCCCCATGAACCTCAATCTGCAGAGCTTGCTTCTCAGCATTCATCTGGACCACGGTCTGCAGCATCTTCTCGCTCATCTGCTTCCTCTAAAAAGAGAGGGAAAAAGGAACGTAAGTGCAATACCTGACTGTAGCTTACCCAAAGAAAGCTAGGCTTTATTCAGATCATCAACATCAAGGAGTGAAATGCGTATTTTCTTTATTTAAACCAATAATGTGCAGAACTGAAAGGTGAGTGACAGTTTTCTTGGTAGTGGACACAATACGCAGAAGAGTACTTGATCTCTTGTAGGAAGCTGCCAAATTTACATTTCTTGCTTGCTGGAATTACAAACTTCTAACTCAGAGGTTTTTTTAATTGTGGAAAAAGGTTCTCAATTACCTATTTTGGGGCTCTTGATGGTGAGAGATTCATATTTCATTTCCAAACATAAACTTTTGGCAATGATGTTTCTTCTTAGGGTTGGACTCTTTCAATGGAATTTCTCACCACTTACCTGTGGAAGAAGATAAAGTGCTATCTGAATTAGAGAGGGCATCCCAACTGACAAAGAAATCCTTATCAAGCAGCAGAGTTTCTAGTAAAGATCATGAGCAGAACCCAGATACAGACAGTACGCTGGAAAACTTGTCTGGACACTCCCTGATGAGGTAACATGAACTTTGTAAGACTGTGTGCAAATATAACTAACTTTACGGTGTTATGTCATGTATCAGAAATGGCAGTGTCTTTGGATGTGCAAAGGGAAAGTAACAGAAATGATCAAATGTTAGTAAAATGGGAATGCAGAAAATATTTTGTAGTTTTTCCCGCCCCACTCCCTGTCCTCTGTATTTTAAATGTCAAAGCCTAAAGTAGATGGCTGTTGTAAGAGAAAATACAAAACAGTGATTCCTCCCCAGGTGCTTCCTCTATTTTTGTGTGGGTAACCAGCCTATATAGTTGTCCTGTCAGGTTCAGCACTGAAATACAATATTTTTAGGTTTTTTTTCACTTCTATAGATGTTCTGTAGGAAGTGTGGGGTGGGGGGAAATAGCATGTGAAGTCATCTTGCTCTTTTCAGTAGAATTCACAGACTTTTTTAGCTAGACTTGTATTCAGCTAATACTCATAAGCCTATCCATCTACGTGAGTTGATGCATTCTGAGAGGTGAACTGATCCTTGGAAAAGAGTATAGAAAAAAAAGGAAAAAAATACTAATTTTCTGCTAATTGTGCCATGAAGATGATTATGAAATACTCGATTTAGTTTCCATTGCAGTTTTTTCTAAAAGAGCAACAAATAATACAAATGGTCTCTCATCTCTGTGGGTGCAGGGCGGTTCAGAGATATTGACTTATACTGGTGACTTTCACTGATATCCAGTATTGGGTATAAAAGGAAATTGGAATAGTAAATTTAAGAAGCATCTGGATGATTTTCTGTATGTGTAAAAAACTTGATGTCTTTGTGAAGCGTAGTAGTTTACTAATTGTTTGTCAAGTTTTGGCCTTCAAGTGTTTCATTGCATTTTGTTGAGAGTTGGCTCCAGGGCAGTGACTTAACCACATTCAGTTGCATTCATGTGCAATCTGTTCACTTTCTAAAAATTCTGTTCATTGTATTCTGTTATCAAAATATGGCCCTAATTTTCTGTAAGTAAACCAAAATTCTTCACTCAGACTCTCAAAACAGATATATAAATGCACATGCAGGTGAGTGCATCCAGACTTTGTCATGGCAGGTTCCTAACAAGGAGGCATTGAAACAGCTTGTTTGGCCATGTAGAACATGGTAGATACTATGCTTTGGGTTTTGGTTGTTTGTTTTTTTTTCCCTTTAGTGTGTGCTAACTAGGTTTAATAGTTGGAGGAAAAGTAGAGTGCTCTAGAAACTTAATCTGGGATATAGGTACAAACTCCATCTCATGAGGCCATTTCCTAAAGGCACACTGGGCCTTTATAGTGCAAACTATAAAAGACTGCCTTTTATGTGGATCTTTTTGGTGTGTGTAAGTGGAAGAACTAGGTTATTTCCTTACTGTGGTATCAAATGGCTGGATTTAGGAGATTATTGACTCCTTTCTTTTTTCGTTTCACTGTCAGTTTCTCAGACAAGGGAAGATCCCAGAAGACACCAACTTCTTCCCCATCTCCAGGTTCCCAAAAAATGTTGCAGTTTGACTCTATAGGCAATACAGCAGAAAGAGTCAAGTCACCTGCTGGCTTTGCTGGAAGTACAGCATCAGGGCTGAAGCATAATTCAGCCTCCCCCGACTTGAGTCTGGGAGCTAGTAGGTCTGTAGCAGGAGCAGCCTCGACAAGCGGTGAGTTGTTTTGTTAAAACCACAGTAATCCCAAAGCAGTTAAATTCTTTCTGTATTTTTGATGTGGGGCACTAAAGTCTAAGGAAGTTGACCAGTAAGTCTTATCCTGCAGGGTGTATGCGCTTCTCCCCTGCTGGTCTTCAGCATCGTTTATCAGTAGAATTGAACTACCTTAGTGCTATTGAGGAGTCTGTGCGACAGCTGTCAGATGTAGAACGAGTACGAGGCATATCGCTTGCCCAGCAGGAGAGTGTTTCCTTGGCTCAGATTCTAAAGGTAATGGAAAAATACTTCCTTGTCTTAACCACCTTTTCTTCTTTATTTTACAAGAAAATTAATCAGCGTGAGTTATGCTTTTGTGGGCAATACAGAGAAATCGTAATATTCCTGATAGAGTGTCTCTGCCAGTGTCCATTTCTGAGGATTAGTGTTTGTTCTTTTTTCTGACTATAAGTTGACACCAAGGAACTGATGACTCGAACATGTATCATTAATATACCATTAGCTGGAAACGCTGCTTTAATTGTGTACTTCAGTAAAATAAAAACTTGATTGTTTATAGAGTTTGATATCGGGTCCCAGTGCCATGCAGTGTAGTTTGTTCAGGCTAGATCATTTGTCTTAGCCCATGAAAAGGATACTTTTGGTTGAAATTTCGTTATGTTGGCAGGATTGCTTGTTCTTGTTTGTTGAATTAATTGGTCTCCTAAATCCTCTTTCTTTCTACACTGTAGTGGAAAAGTACAGGGAGTGTGCATTGTCTACTGCTTGCTTGAAAAGGGAGAAGGACAGTTGGTAGCCTGAAAATTTTACTTTAGCAGAAGAGACATCACAGTAGAGAAGATTTAGATCTTTCAGAGGTCATTGCAGCCAGAGACTGAGGCAAAAAGTGTTCACATTTAACTTGCATGATTAAAAACTTGTTTTCCTGATTTGTAGGCACAGCAGCAGCTCCATGAACGGGACCTAGCTCTTTTAAAAATCAAGGCTGAACAAGAAGCTTTAGAAAGTCAGAGACAACTGGACGAGGCAAGGCAGAAGGCAGCTCAGGTAATGCTGCCCTTCAGAAAATGTGGAGTGTGTAAGAGGCAGAATGCTGTAAGTAAATCCATGCCTACGAGTATTCTTAACTTGAAGCTGCTATATGAAGGTGCTGAAGGGGTTTAATATAGCTGAAAAACTCTTAGGAGCTGATTTCAAACTTTTTTCCACCAGATTGTAAGAAATGAAAGTATAGTTGTTATAGCCAGAAAACTTTGAAGAGGTAAGCTGGCTGTGTTTTCTGCATAGGTCCATGCAGAGTCGCTACAGCATCTTGTCCAGGCACGTCAGGAGGCTGTACAGGAGACCCCATGCAAGGCTTCAGCCAAGCAGGAAGAAACTGTGCATCTCACTACAGATGCAGCTCATCAGACCCGTGAGGTGAGGCCCTGAATGAAAGGAAAAAACTGTTCTGAGTAGTACTTTGCATACTTTTTTACCTCTAGGATATTTTCTGTTCAATGTCATTCTTCACCATAATGTAACAAATGATAGGACTTTAGAGGAGCTTTTCTGGCATCATTACTAAAGAGTCAGCAGCCTTAAATCCCTGTTCACTATTCTTAATGTCTTCCAGTTAGCAGACTCTTAAGAGGTTTGTTCTTCCAGGATAGATTGAGAATAGTGAGCACATCTTTAATTTGTAAGTTGCGCTCCATCAGGGATTGATCATGTATCTGTTTCATATGCAAATTAGAAAAGTAGGGAAAATACAGTTTGCTTACTTTTGAAGGTTGAAGTGAGGGGAAAAAAAAAAAAAAAGATAGGATCTTCACTCTTAACTTGGTAGTTTGAAGTTTTCTTTTTTTGGGTCTTTGTTCTTTTGTGGCCTCTGGAATATTTATTAGCTTTCAGGGTTTTTATATAATTTTATCAGTTTTTATACTACTTGCTCCAAAGTAGCAGCTGCTTCACACATAGGTAAAAAACACAGTAACAAAAAAAAAATGCTTTTGCTGCTTCATAGTTCAGCAGCAGCAGTGCCTGCAAATTAGGGTCATGGGATGGAATGCAGAAGGCTGATGAATGTGAACATAACGTGTTTCTTTACAGCTTATGCACATGTTAGTGCTCAGGAAGGCTGCTTGTATGATGCATAGTGTAACTGTAGAATAACAGTGACGTACTTGTTCTGGCCTTTGCCAAATATGTGACTTTTAAATAATTTTTTAATAAAAAGAATGGGTTAGGTTAAAGGAACAGAAAAGCTCAGGCATCTTGGATACACGCAGTGGTTGTTGATAGAAGGTAGTGAAGTCTTGGATAAAGACAAAGAAACATTTGTAGCTTATAGAGCTGAAGTGGGTAGAAACTAGTTAAGAAACAAGGCAGAAGGAACAAAGCTTTTATTTGGTGTAGGGTTTTAATCTCTTGTTTTGCTTTAAATTCAAACTCTTTAGAGTAAAAGGTGCTAGTGGAGAGGTTGATGAGGATGACCTAGTCAGTGATGATGGGCTAGCAAGAGTAGCTTTTCCATCCATGTTTACAAGTGACTCCAGATACTCAGTTGAACAACCATTTATTCTAACTGGAATGCAGCAGTGGAAATGGCTGTTACCAATATGCTGGGAATATTTTGGGACATATGCTGTAATTTCTTATGTATAACAGAATAGAGTTAATTTTCTGCATTGCTTTCAATTAAAAGTTTGTATTATGCAAAAGAATATAGCATGCTGCTATACAGTTCAGTTTGCTTAGAATTGATTGTCATATTAATGAAGGCTAAGACAGTGGATGATGTATACAGACAATACAATTTAAAACATTCACTGTTTCTATAAAATTTATATACATTAATTGAAGAATTAAGGAAGAAACTCAGTATCTTTATTAAAAATCATTGGAATACAGCTTATACGTACCTTCAAAATGAACCAGACTTCCCTGCTCTGCAAGAGGCAGACCTTGGAACAGTAAGAAAAATACGTAATTCTGAAGCTTCTGAAAACTAGTGTTATCTACTGTAGTTTCTGAAGAAGCTCTTATTTCTAGTCCAGTACACAGTGACTGCCATACATTAAGATGGATAATTTATGGCTATGTTTATTTAATGCTGCTAATTTTAGACCTGGCAGTGTGCATGGTATTGTGCAAAATGCACTTTCAAATGAAAACATTGTTTCTGGTGTTTGTGGGGTAGTGGTTGGAGGTTGTTTGGGGAGGGGGTTATTTGCTTTGTTTTTTGTTTCAATTATAAGAAGTCTGGAATGTTTTATTATGTGGGGATCATTAGACTGATCAGAGTTTGGTTAAGATGATTAGAATGATATGGTAAGTAGTATCTTGCCTATCTGTAGCTTCATATTAATAATTCCACACTGCATAAGTTAAAGAATATGTATTTACAGAGCAGTATGTACCTTCCATATCCAAAACTGATACATGTATAATTACAAGCCATCGTAAACCCACATCTTACATATTTGCTCAATTGTGAGGATGACTTTTCTTGCTCAAAAAGATTTTGGTGCTGATAAGCTTATTGTATTCCTTGGATTTTATTTTTTTTTCAATTGTGCTCAGATGACTGAGTTAGCACGAACGGATACTGTCAGCACTCCAGCTGCTCCAGTCACCACCTTGTTTGACCACCAGCGGCAGCATCATTCAGAGTTCATGAAACAACTGAGAGCCCGAGCTGATACAAACAGGTTTTGCCTAATGTTTCACACCTTGGGAAGGGGGAAGTAAAATTTATTAGGTTCTACTTCACCTATTCTTGAAGAGAATTTTGAGATGTTGTAATGAGTGAGTATTGAAGAAGAATTCAGATTCCATCTTTATGCCCTTTAATAGTGTATGACAACATTGACATTTACTAGTCCTGTGAACCTTTATATAAAAAGTGTAGAAAAAGATGTCCTAAATGTTTGGTGGGATGATTTAACTAGTCTAAGCTTTAAGTGATCTCTTCAGAAATTTTAGCTGTTACTTCTAGTAAACTGTATTCCTCTTTGGTTTAAGATAACATAGATTTACACCAAACACTTTGCTTTCTTAGGAAATGTGAGTCTGGTGCCATATCACAGGGTAAAGAGGGGACAGGTGACTCGAAACAGACATACTCGTCGATGTTTGATAGTTATTCAGAGTCCTCAAGATCGAAGGTTCATGATCAGAGGTAAGAAGGGCTTGGATTACACAGGGGTGGTTTTGCTATAAGTAAGAAATAAAATACAAAGGAATATAAAGATATTTCCTTCAATATTTTTTTATAAAAAGAGAGGTGGTCAGCATTAAACCATCAACAGGTAAGCCTGTCTCATATTATGGAGCTTGAAGGTTTACATGCCTACCAGAATTTGTTTTGTCTTTAATTAAAAAAATCGTAATACACTGTAGCCCACAGTGTGTTAATGTCTTCAGTTTTGAATTTGCTGTATTTTTTCTAATTGAATGCTTTTCTCTTTTGTAACTTAAGAATAATGGAGTTTCACTTTCTCATTCAGCTGATTTAGCAGAAGTCTAGCAAGCAGGTGAAGGGAAATGATTATTCTACTCTGTTCGACTCTTGTGAGACTGTATCTGAAATATAGTGTCCAGTTTTGAGCTTCTCGGTAAAGAAAAGATATTTGCATACAGGCACAAGTCTAGTGGTGAACCACCAAGGGGAGGCTAGAGTGCACGATTAAAAGACAGGATAAAGGGCCTGAGCTAACTTAACCTAGAAAAAAGAAGGCTAACGGGGGAGGCATCTAGTTGCAGTATCTTAAAACATGGGTTGTTATGTAACATAAGGTTAGACTCTCTTTAGAGATGCACAGTGAGATGACAAAAGGCAATGGTGACATTACAGAAAGGGGAAAGTCACTGAGGAAAAAAACACTGTAAAACTGGTCAAACACTAGTCTTGGGGGTAGAGGGAGATTGCGGGGTACTTTGTTGAAGGTGTTCAGAACTTAGACATGGCCTTGACTTTGGCTAGATGAAATACGTTCAGAAATTTTTTATCTGAGATGATTCCAATTTCTGTGCTGTGGCCTACTTCCATACTTTTATTGTGTCACCTTTGTAACCTAAAAGTCCCTTCAAGTCTCTGTTTATATGAGTCTTTTTCCCTGTTCTAAATATTTGTATTTTGTGCCCTTCTCATTTTGCTCTATGTGATTTTGGAATGCAGTAGAACACAGACTGGAGCATGTGTTCTGAAAACACAGCTCAGGGACCTGTACAACTTTCTGCTCTAATGCGTATTACTTTCCTTTCTGTTCTCTGTGTATCTGAACATTTTGTTAGGTTCTAGTTTTTGAGCTTTTTATCACTGCTGCTATGCACTGGCTTGAGAGTTTACATGAAGCGCACGGACTATTATTTGCCTGAGGTTTAGGTTTGACTCATTTCTGGTGTTACTTTTCAGTATCTCAGCTGTGTTAAAAATCCATAAAAACAATGGATTTTTAGCTTTTTGTTTCCTGTTGACTTACCTGATCTAGTTAGGTCTCATGAAGTTTCTCACAGCCCTTCTGTGATCTTGTCCAGATGAATGATTGTGTCCCCTGTAGTTCTTCTAATTTAAAACAGTATTGCCATCTTGCTCATCCTTTTAAAAACTGTAAGGAGAGTTGTTTGCAGTGGTTTATCATCCACGCTCATTGCCAGGTAGAGGGTGTGCATACCTAAAAAGCACTTGGATTCGAAGGTAGAATAAATGTGCAAGTCCTGCTGTCAGTGGCTTGGAATTTTGAAGTAGCCAAGCTGTATTTAAAAAAAGTCCCAAACCCTCTGCATATGGATTGTTGCTGGCATGTTAATCATGGTATGTACAGTAGTAATGCAATATAAATACTTTGAAATGTGCAGAGTCATTTAAAAAAAACCCTTATCTCTTTGATAACACAGTAGTACCAGCAGCCGCCAAGAGAGTCCTTCAGTTCCATCTTCTAAAGAGAATGAGAAAAAGCTTTCCCGTCGTGAAAAGATAAATAGCAGTATTGAAGACCAGGCACCTACTGGTGTGGATGATTCCTTGCGAAGTGATAGTATTTTATCACTGCCAGATGAAAAAGGTAATCTGTGTTGCTCATATGTGATGAATCTGAGGGTGGTAAGGGGGAAGGGAGGGGAGGTGCTGTTTCAGAATTAGTTTCTGAAATAAATGAGGGAATATACATGAAGAAAGCTGAGCCCCAGGTGAATTGGTAGTCTCTTAAGAAGTAAGAGAGGGTGGCGTAGGGAAATTGGAACCTTTGAAATTCTGTACATCAGAGTGGTGGAGTGTGTGGGCCATTCTGCTCTGTTGTGTTAGCTGTGGCTGGAAGTTCACTTGCTGAATGTGGAAGCTGAACACCCGGCAGCCCAGAAATGCGTTTATACCTGTTTATGGAAGTCTGTTAGGTTTGTCAAGCTGGATAATGGTATTTCATGATGTCCTATAACTCAAGGTCAGGTCACTCACTTTTTCACAATGACAGCAATCAGCCATTGGAATAATCTCCCAAGAGAAGTGGTGGACTCCCCAACCCTGGACACTTAAGATTTGGCTGGACAGGGTGCTGGGCCATCTAGTCTAGGTCATGCTTTGCCAAGAAAGGTTGGACCAGATGGTCCTTGAGGTCCTTTCCAACCTGGTATTCCATGATTTTCTGAACACCCATTTTATTCTGCATTAGTTCTCTCCCTGTCTTACCTGCCCCTCTGACTTTATTGAGATTAGACAGAGTAAAACCTCATTCATGTTACATACCTAAGCATACAACCGCTTCCCTGATTTCTCCCTCAGATTCTGCTTCTGTTGCAACAGAATATTCCCTGAAATTTGACGAGTCCATGACAGAGGATGAGATTGAGGAAAAGTCTTTCCGGTCTTTGCTGCCCTCTGAGAGTCATCGCAGAAATAACTTGGAGAAGAAGCGGGGTAATCGTGATGATTCTGATGAGGAAGTTTCCCCAGAAAAAACAGCTCTGTCATCTATCAAGGTAGGTCAAGCAACGGTAGTGAATGTAAATTAACTGAACTGAAATTGTTAAGCTGATGAGCTTCAGGTGAGCTGTTCTTAGCTCTCTTTGCAAACGTTAGGGTTTTTTTCCTCCCTGTGGTTCTTTGAGCATTTCAAAACTTAGGGTTGAATGAATCATGCAATATGTCACTGTTGTACAAGCATGATGACTTACAAAACACGCCTCTATCTATTCTATTGTGACATTTTGAGGCAGGTTATAAAAGTTCAGTGGATTAAATCTTTCTATTATGTCTACACACAGATAGGAAGTATAAGAGGATGCTTTGACCCTCTGGGCCAAGAAGGTGACACCCCAAAACTTTCACAAAGCCAAGGGCAGAAAAAGCTGGTCTGCACAAAGCTCAGAATAAAAGCAGCTTCCCTTCTTTAATCTGTTTTTTTGTGTATGTCTGTATAGACACACGCACTTTGTAATTGAAAAAAGCCTTGGAATTTCTCTAAATCATGCCAAATTTTTCTTGCATTCCAGGAGCTAAGCATGCCATTCTCAGGGGGACAAGATAGTTTCTCTAAATTTACCATGGAGATGGTAAGACAGTACATGAAAGAAGAGGAAATGCGAGCAGCTCATCAGTCCTCGCTGCTTCGGCTCCGAGAAAAAGCTCTGAAGGAGAAGACCAAGGCTGAATTAGCTTGGCTGGAACACCAGAAGAAGTAAGGGAGCTCTGAATATACACTGTTGGTGACTGACCGTTTTCCACCCCTCCCTTTTTAAGTATCTGTGGTTGAACTGATCTTCTGACATCAGTAATGTATACAAACGTTATTGTCACTTGGAAAGAACAGAACCCAGATTGTAAGTCTACTTTGATGCACCACATTGAGCATGGTTTGATCAAAGAGAATGTCATGAAACAGTAGATATTTGTTGTCAGAGAAGGTAGTTCCCAACTGTTACTTGACAAGTCTTAATTCAAGAAGATTAAAAAACTGTCAAACAGACCTGTATTTGCTTGATGTCTATCTGAGGTCATTTTAGTTGACTCAAGCCAAATTTTGTGAATCTGGGTATGAGTAGTACTTAATAATTTGTTTCAACCTAACATATGCTTTGGCTGGGAATGCCACTTGAAGGATGGTAGTGGCCAGATTTAATCAATAATACTTTTCTATGGTCACTCTCTGCCTGAGACTACCATTGTTCAACAGGCATTTTCTTCCAATTTCTTGTTAACGGAGGTTTGACAAAGGATTGTGAGGTAGTGACCCAAGTGTCCTTCCTATTGCCTTTCTCAAAGGGTGAGAATACTACCTTTTGAGAGCTTCTGCCCATTCATGTGAAATCTCATATTACCTGCACTGGCCTTTCGACTGTGTGTGTCTGACTGAACAGTACAACATATTTCACTATAGAGCATGCAAGTGATTAATTACAGGCATATACTCTTCTGCAGATTAGGAAAAGTAAATCTTGGTTTTTTACTTTAAAGTGTAAAAGGCTTGTGGTTCTTTGTTATATACTTTTTTCTTATTTAATCTTTTCTTCCAATTTGTTTGCAGGCATTTGCGAGACAAGGGCGAGGATGATAAAATGCCTCCTATTCGAAAGAGGCAGCGTGGTCTGCTGCTGAGATTACAGCAGGAAAAGGTAGCTGATGCTCTATAGGAAAACCCTGTTGAAGCATCTCTGTAGCCATTAAATGTTTCAGACACTGTAAAAGCTAAGAATTAAGAAACTTCCATACCAGGTTTTTGGATAGGAAGCTAGCAGTATTTCTTACCAGCAAGAGTATTACCAGCAAGCTACCAGTATTTCTTACTTGCATTTTGGTGGTATGTAACACATTGATTTAAAGGGTCTTTCTATATCAGTAATCTCACCTGTTGAGACTTGGAAGTATTAATTTATCTTCTGTTCTTCGCTGCTGAAGTTCAGGCTAGTTGCTTCATCAGTAATTGCAGTAATTTTAAACAGCAAGGACACTGTGGCAGCTTTAGAGTGTGTTCTTGAGAGTTGTCTGTCACAGTTCTTATGCTTAATCTTTTATACATAAAAGGCAGAAATTAAACGTCTTCAAGAGGCTAACAAAGCTGCTCGGAAGGAAAGGCAGCTGATCCTTAAACAGCAGGCGGAAATAGAACGAATACGTCAGACTACAATTAAACTGCAAGAGAAGCTAAAGTCTGCAGGGGAAAACAAACTAGTAAGTGTTCATACAGAAGCTGGAGTGTTCCCTCTTTGTCCATGCATCTAGTGTTTGATTTCAGTGCTTATAGTAATGGAAAGCTACTGGATTGGACCTATCACTTGAAAGTTTTGTCTGCCTCAAATGGTCTCATCTTCTTTATCTCAGCAGTGTTTAATTTCTTAAAAGCATTTTTTAAGGAAATTATTAAATGTTTTAACTGTGCAGTAAATGGTGTTTTAACTCTGAAGCTTAACCAATAACTTTGGGAGTATCAGCTTTTTGTTGCTTAGATCTCTTGGGCTCTGATTTTGTTTGATTATTTTTCAGACTCCAAAGTAATAAATGTGTTAAACCCAAAACTTGCTGCCTTGTGTGAGTGTTAGTGTCATTACACTAAGTTTATTCCATCTGCTTTATAAGACAGCAAGACAGGATTTGGTGACTGCTTCTTCACAAAATTTTGAGGAGAAACAAATTGAATAATAGTAGTATAGAAAGGATTTGTTTCCTGATTTGGTAACTCATTTCTGATGTTGGGGTGTTGTTGGGGATTTTTCTACATAAAGCTAGAGGGAACTTAAATTGTGGTGGAAAAGCATGTACTAAAAAACTTTGTGTCACATAAAAATGAAGTTGTATACTCAAGTTAAATCTGCAGGCTGACAGATTTACCTGAAGTAGTATTGGATGTAGTCTGGAGAGAAGTAAGCTAAATTATCATAATGTCTAAAAAGGATTGTAGAATATTTTTTTTCCTACTTTTAATGTTGCCTTTTTGGGTTTTTTACACTTAATTGCAGGAACTTCACAGTGAGGACGACATCAAACAGAGCAATGGTTCTAGCCCACTTCCAACTGATGGAGAAACACGCAGCCCTTCCCCAATCTCAATCTCCAGCAGTGAGACTAGCAGCATTATGCAGAAACTTAAAAAAATGCGCAGCAGAATGGATGAGAAGTAATTAATTTATTTTTTTCTCTTCTTATGCAAGACTTTACTATTTTAATAGAGCGAGTTGGTTTGGCCAGTATCTGCACTATTAATATCACATCAGCTTTGATCTGAGTTGCCTGAAAAATAGCTGATTGGGAAGCATTAATAGAACTGTGTTAATTCTTGAATATAATATACAAAGGCTACAACTGTTGCATGAATACTAAGATTTGGACATTGTTAGCTGGCAGACAGTGTGTCAAGTTTTTATTATACAAGATTGATTTTAATATTCTTTGTACTTCTTTTTTGAGTCGTAAAAGCACATCAATTTAGGAGATTTTGATACTTGTATGCTCAAGGAATTTGGACAGTCTCCAGCTTGATGATATAAGAGTTCCTCTAGCAATGACACCTCTGAAGTCAAATGGTCAAAATAGTGCCTGTATTTTGTATCTCCCATTTTATTTTAAAGGGCAGAAATATGGGAAGTGAGACTCTGCAATTACAGTACCAATTTTGTCTTGAATTGAAGCATAACTTAAAAACAGGAATAATTTTATGCAAAAACTAGTAACGGAGTTTGAGATCTGGCTCACAGAAAGTCATTGAGCTTCTCAGGCTTGTGATTTCTACCTTATTATCCAGCTTCAGAATTTCAATTCTAATTGCATTAAAGTGAGCTAGGATGCATTTTATAGTGTTTTCTTAATTAATGGAGGTTGTATGTGTGTGACTGAGAAGATGGGCAATTAATAAGACCTTTCTTTTCATCCTGTTTGGTCCATGGGTTGAAAAAAATTGAAGTTGGTTGTTAGTATTCAGAGGAAACAATGAAATATATGTGCAGTTCCTGCATCTGAAAACTAGGGCTGAAGGTTTCACTTATTAAATTGTTTTGAATGAAATTATTTTTCTGCATCTTTTCAGTGTAGGGATTATTTTGTGTGCACTAAACATCCCAAATGCTTTTCCAGCATGTGCTCCTTAGTTTGAAGCCTTACATTTATTTTTGAGACTAATCCATTAAAAATTTGATCTCTGCCAATTTCTGCAAGAGATAGTCCTTGCTTAAACATTTATTATTTTTTTTTATTATAACCAAGGTATGTCACTGTATTTTAGTCCATAAGGGAGATCTTATGTAATGGTTGTTTTTTTTGTTCTCGTATGACTCCTAACACAGCTGGTTAAAACATCAAAAAGCAAGCACTGCCATTTGCAAGCTGTTTGTGACTCCTTAGCTCCTTATTTGCTTGTAATCTTTTTAGAAGCACATTTCCAAGACTTGCATGTATTTGTATATGATGAAGATAAAAGCCAGTAGTACTAAGTGAGCATTAGGAAGAATCAAAAACGGTGTTCTAGGTATACATAGTCCTCGTGTTCTAGCCTGAATTCATTGCTATTTTATTCAGATTCTTCTGGTATACTTAACAGCCAAAATGAGAAATGATTTCAAGATTCTGAATTGTCATATTTCCAAAACTAAACCCTTGGCATTCCAAGTCGTGTGGAAACCAACCCCATTGGTATAGCGGAAAACTCTTTTTCTCAAAATGTATTTTGAAGTTGGTAAATGGCTGAAGATGAGGACTTGAGAAGGATGTGCTCTGGAGGCCACGTTGACTGACAGAGTTTCAAGAAAACAAGGGGTTTCTTCTGATCCTTTTTTAAGGAGGGTCTTTATTTTTTTTTACCACCTGAGATTCAGCATACAAAATTTCAGATGGTGTAACAAAACCAAGTAACATTTTACCATTTTTGAGATACAGTGTTAATAAACACTATAGGAGATGACACTTTTGTATTTAAAACTTCCTTTGCTACTTTTTATCAGGTAGTGGTTTTGTTAGTATTGTTTTTGAAATTTTACTGTTTCAAAGTACTTTCATTTCTAAGCAACAACTATGCAGAAAAAATGACTTATTAATAAATAATTGTTCTTACTATTGCAAGGGATAGTAGTAGATACAAATTATGTTCTGTCCTTAGAGATGTTTGAATCATCAGTCCGAAATAGAATAAATTTCAAAAGGTAGATAGCAGAATTTGAGCTAAAATAACTGTGTTTAGTCTGAACAAGTGGAAGGTGTGCGATATATGTGGTCATGTATTTTTGGTTTTATGTTTTTGTCTTGGATTGATACAGACATATTCAAAGGAAGTAGTACTTGGATCTTCCCAATTATATAGGTTTTGCACACCTTTTGCAGGCATTTTGATTGCAATAGCTGTGGTTATTGGTTGAAAACCAGTGCTGACTTGGAGTCTTTTAAATGTCCTTATTTGTAAAATGCATAAGAATAATAACATAATAAAGACATTTGGTTTGGGGTGTAATGATAGGAAGCTGCTGTCTGAAGGGCAGCTTAATCAGGGTATGAGTGAGGTACAGCAAAAGGAAAGAGGCTGAATGTTGAGTGAAGTAGTAGAGGAACTATAATAAGGAATTAGGAGAGCCCACTATGCTGGATTTGGTGTTGTCCATAGCAAGGTGGAAATCCTGTGGCTTCTTTAAGAGGCAGCTTTAATTTTTCTCTTCTGCTAAAAGGGGAATGAAGGAATGGTTATTTTTTTAACAGCCTGCATGTGAACAGGAGCATGCTCTGTCAAAGAGAATTAACCACTTCCCCTTGCTTTCCTTGCATATGCAACTTTAATGATAATCTGTGCTATAGAAGAACTGATTAAATGCTCATTTTTGTTTGCCTTTCCTTAATATGCTGCTTAGCTTGCGTTGTAGTTCATAGAGCTATGTGGAGCATGGCATTTTTCTGTAAATATTGTAATTCTTTAGGAATTAACTTAAAATGGTAATTGTTTAAGAAATACCATTTTAAGCACAGCTGTAAGTTTAGGTAGGTAGATTAATTTTTTTTAAACAAATAGGCATTATCTTTCTGCAGTTAGTACTTCACATGAAAGAGGCAATGTACAAGTATTCTGAGACCAAGGCTGCACTTCATTGCCAAAAACCAAAACAGCAGCTAGAGGTCAAATTACAGGTGTTTCTCAGACTTTTCCTGGATTTGCTCATGTTTTAAAATACGTAATTTAATCCCCCCCCCCCCCCTTCACTGGTGCTTACCTTTGGAGAGTTAATTTTACTGAGGTTTCACCAGGTGAATGAAAATGTGTTTCAAGTTTCCGACAAGCAAAGTTGTTCATGTAGCAAAACTAGCATGCTATTTAATGCTCATTGTATACTGTATAGACAATTACAACAACAGGAGTTGCAAAAAGATCACATTGAAATATGTTAACCAGTACATGTGGAAGTCTGCATCAAAATAAAACTCTTTCCAAAATTTAAAGAAAAATCTAGCAGTGTGAAAGTAGCTTGCCATTAGTTAACAGAAAATGAAGTGGTGTGTGTGTGTTTTCTGTTACCTTCTGCATAACAGTGTATAGTTTTTCTACTTCAGACGTTGGGTAATAACTATACAATGTTAAATGCAATTAATTTTAAAGTTCTTTGCTAGATGCTATCCTTTTCTCATTCTTTCTGCCTTTTTTGCTATCTTAGTTTTAAACTCTTCCTCCTTATTTTGTAGACACTGCTCTCCTGTTCACTACTTCTTCTCTGTCTTTACGTCTCACCACTGGGCCTCTCTCAGTGTCTGTTTTCCCAACCTTCACCCCAAATTCCAGCTGTATATCTACAACCAATTGGTCAGGTAACTGCATCTTTTTCAAGTGATAGACTCTTTGATAGAGCATGCTCTGTTCAGTCCTGGGAAGTCAAGAGGTTCTTCCATCAGTGAACTTGTTTCCAGATTTTTCTTAATGGCATAGACAGTGAGTGGGATTGGGTATGTCTTTAAAAAGTCTGCAGATGACACCAAGCTGAGTGGTGTGGTTGATTCACTGGAGGGAAGGGGTGCCATCCAGAGAGACCTTGACAGGCTTGAGGAGTGGGCCACTGTGGACCTCATGGAGATAACAGGGTCCTGCATCTGGGTCAGGGCAATCCCCAGAATCACTGTAGACTTAAGGGATGAATGAATTGAGAGCTACTCTGCAGAGAAGGACTTGGGGATGCTGGTGGACAAAAAAACCCACTGGATATAAGCTGATGCTTCCCCTCTAGTCTGCTCTCATGAGACCCCCATCTGGAGTACTTCCTCCAGTTCTGAGGTCACCAGGATGAAAAATACATGGATCTGTTGGGGGAGGTCCAGCAGGGGGCCACAGAAATGATCAGTGGGCTGGAGCACCTTTCCTATGAAGAAAGGCTGAGAGAAGTGTGGTTTTTCAGCCTGGAGAAGGGAAGGCTCTGGGGAGACCTTATTTGTGCCTTTCAATATATAAAGTGGGCTTATAAATAATAACCAGAAAGACCTTCTGCTAGGGCGTGTAGCGATAGGACAAGGAGTAATGGTTTTAGACCAACAGTAGGTCTAGATTAAATATAAGGAAGATTTCGTTTGGTTTTTTTTTATGATGGAGGTGGTGAGACACTGGCACAGGTTGCCCAGAGAAGTTGTAGATGCCTCGTCCCTGGCAGTGTTGAAGGCCAGAACAGATGGGGCTTTGAACAGGCTGATCTAGTAAAAGGTGTTCCAGGCCATGGTAGGGAAGTTGGACTGGATGATCTTCAAGGTCACTTCAAATCTAAATCATCCTATCTCATCTCTTATTCCTACTGTGTTCTGAATGGCAGATAGTTCAGTTTGTTCCCACTGTCTGGTTAGCACTTCAGAATACCTGCTGAAACTGTCTAATTTGGATTTGAAGTCAGTATACCTTGGATATAAATGTACAAGCACAGGTCAGAACAGCAAGTTATGCTTCCAGGTTAATATTTGGGATGCATTGATAAAATGTGTGATGTTAGCACTAGAGAAATAGTTCGATTTTTTAAATCATGCTGATGCAATCCAAGTGCTGCTGCTCTTTTTTTCCCCCAGATTTCCAGCTTCGTAGATGCCAGGCATGGTTTTGCCTTTTTTTTGTTTCTCATGAAGGTGCTACTGCTTTTGAGGGTAAATGCATACCTTTGGTGTTACAACTGGAACCCTCTAGATCGTAGTAAATGTCAAAGCAGTGTGTATACTACCTTGTGGCTCTGACCTTTCAAACCCCAGGGTTATAAAAGGGTCTGCATCTTTAGGCATGCTGCTTTAATCCTCTTCTTTCTATAGGTGGAATGTTGGAAACTTCTTTCACTCCCATCCCTTCTTTTGACTTTCATTACTAGCAAGTAGTCTTTGTGTGGTGGTTAGTTTCATTGTCATTTAGTTAATTCTTCTCCTTTCTGTCTCCCCTAGTTTTAGGGGTTAATGCTTTTAGGGAGTCCTATTCTTTTGAATCCATTTATTTCAACCTGTCTCTTGCATTTTATTTCAACTGGACTTGCCTTCGTAAAGATCCAGTAAGCTATGAAGATCCAGACATTCTGATTATATCAAACCATTTACAAGGTAGAAGAAAAAGTTGCCTTTTGCAGTAAGATCATTGCAATGATGACTCTATATAGAGAGTTCCAAATACATGATCTGCTAGATTAACTGAAACTGTTTTGTATCTGAAAGAAAGAGCTGACAAATCTGATAGTGCTGTTGAAAGGCACAACATGGCTGTCCATGTCATGTTTGTAATGCAATTACTGTTGGTAGTCTAATTTCTTAATGATATTAATCTGTTGGGTTTGTCTAAAAGTAGACAATGTTTGATGTTTGTCTATAGAAAGTAATAAAGTAATGCACAAAATCATTGAATCTGTTGCTTGAAGGTGTTCCCAGAGACTCTGAGATGCTTCTGGTTTGAGCCTGCTTTTGTTTTGATCATAGGAAAGAAGATTGTGGTCAATCTTACTGGCTTCTAAAACTTTCATCTTCAAATCATAACTGTCTACCTTACATGAATCGATCTTAGGAAGGATTTACCTGAATCTTAACCTTTCTGGTCAGCTTCCAGCTCACTTTTCCAGGGAGCAGAATGAACATGAAGTGAACAAACAAGAAGTGTCCCTTAGCAGGCAAGACGTGGAAATTAGCTAGTTGGCTATTCCAGTGTCTGCAAATAAAAGGGCTTTTTTGAAACATGAGAGATTAAAAAGCAGAAATGAAATCATCATCTGCTTTGCAGCTTAAAAATTTAGATGCCAAGTGATTGGTATGGCTTGAAACTTACAAATTATAAAGGCATTTGCAAAGCAAATAGCGCAAATGTTTGAAGACTGCCTTTTTAGGCACCCCACCCCCTGTAGAGGGTGAACTCTAGCTGGCAAACCTTATGTTTTCTGCAGAATGATTTTATGATGTCATAACTTAAGTGTAGGAGATTAATGACTTGATACACGCTCTTCTCTAGACTTAGCATGTCAGAGGAGGTGCATGCAGTTGATGTTGAACTTGATTTCTTTTACTGTGTTAAAGCTTAAATGCTATGGTCTTGGTTACTTCAATGTTTAGAAATAAGACCAGAGATACTGTTGTTCAAGAGCTGTCAAAGCAAGTTCATATATTCACACAAATTTATACATACCTAGAGAGTCCTATAAGAATTGCCTCATTTTTGAGGTTTTGTGGATCACCTAAGAAATCTTTGTCAGAAAGAAAATATTTCATAATTTTCATCATGAGCTTTGCTTTCTATCTGTTGTTAAACCAGGAACCAGATATGTTAGTAGCTGGGAAAAAAAAGTCCCGCGTCCCATATTCTCTTGATGCTGTCAGCTCACAATTAACATTTCAGATGTGGTTATCCACAGAGACGATGCTTAAGGGAAGAAGGATAGAAACTCCAGTAATTCAGGAGATCTATTAATACAGCATCACCTTCTCTTAGAAGTATGTATTTGGAAAATATGTGAGGCAACTTGGAGTTACAATTTTTCTGTCATTGGGATTAGTGAAAAGTTTGTTTTTTCAAACAGTCACTGCTTTCTTGAGGGTTCCAGTTTAATATCACTGGTACTTTTCATGTACTGAAATTGGGAACTTAGCCTGTTCGTTCTACTGAATAGTTAGTAGCACTTTAATGGTTTTGAAGATCTTTAAAATGTAAGCAGCATATGTTGTAGTCTGCTGTAGCCTACCACTACAGGATGTTGAAGACTTATTGCAAAGAAAAAAAACTTTTTTAGTTGTAGGGGGTTTCTCAGCAGCACGTGGGAGGTCTAGAAGATAGTTGTTAGTGTGGGTATTATCCTTGAAAAAAATCTGAACAGCTATAATTCCAGAAATTGTGGCAATAGAGCATCTGGGTATTGGGACCTTTGAGTGTGATTGGCTCTTTTCTCATTGTCTTCTGCTCTGTTAGGTTTCTAACCAAGCGAGAACAGAAGCTGATGCAGCGTCGACAACATGCTGAAGAATTGTTGGAGTGGAAACGCCGCCTGGATGCAGAAGAAGCAGAAATACGGCGGATAGAAAAGCAGGCTCTAGCTGCCTGGGACAAAGAGCTGCTCAAAACCAAAACAGCCAAGAAAGAGCTGGGGGATCAGAGGACTGAACCCAAAGGTAAAAGGAAGTGGGGGGAAGCGATACAAATAACAAGTAAAGCATAATTTGACACGATTGCTTAAGTTTGCACTTTCTTCCGTTTTTGATGTTTTGGTGGTGGTGGTTCTTCTCTGGACCCCCTTAGAATATCCGTTTCTACAGTCTTCAGTGCCTTCTGTTGCCTTGTTCTTTTAGCCCCGTTTTACACTTCAGTTAAAAGTGTATTCCTCCTTTGCTGTGGATCTTCTCAAGTGAACAGTGTACCAGAGCCCCATCAGACATTTCTACAAACAATTCAGAACAAAAATAGTTCATGATCTTCTGCTGATCATCTTCTGAACTTACTCTTATTAAAACCTCTGTAGTGCTCAAAGTGTCTGTCCTGTTAGCCTCCTCACTGTTGGTGAGGATGGCTCTTACCAGAGGCTGTGTTTCAGCATTTTTTTCTACCCTCTGTTGTTGATGCAGGATAACCATTTCAAATGTGCAACTGTGCTTAAGTGTGTAAGGATATAACTAGCATGAATAATGCTATTGTTAGGAAAAAAAAAAGTTCCCAGATGTTGGGAGCCACAGCTTTACTGTTCTGTCTTAACTGGACCATACTTTCAGCATGAAGCACAGAGAAGTAGAGAAAGTAATGGAACTTTGGGATTGTTCTAGAAACAATCAATTTTCTTTATCTCCCACTTCGCTGAAGGCAGGCAGCATGTCCTTTGAATGTGCAAAGGAAATTCAGAATTATGCCCTATTAGGGTTGTTATTGAAGAGACATGTGGATCTTGGGTATTGTAAGACATTTTGAAGATATGTGTATAAGTCAGTAAGTTCAGATTAGCAAAAATTCAGAATGAGAAAATATACTTGCTTCCTATTAATTGTATCTACTAGTAAGCACTGGAGCACAGCCCATGTTCAGAAGTTCTGCTTCCCAGCCTTTGCTCAAATACTGAATAATTCTCTGTGACTGCCTCAGTAATGCTGTGACTCCTGCAGAATTTAATAAACAGGAATTTTGAAAACCCAGCTTATTATTTTAGTTGCTGCCAGTTGAGACACTCATGATGAAATCATAACATTAAAATGTTTTCCGCAGCTACTGTAAAGGAAGCTGTAAATTCAGTATCTGGCTTGGAGATTATATGCTCCTCCATGACTTCTTCAAACTAATAGTGACTCTTGCTATGGTGTATGGTCAACCAGAAGGACAGGTTTCGCTAATGCTCTTTTTTGAGTGTGTTGTCTGGAAAATGTTAGAATATCCTGAAGCCCTCTTTATATGTTCAGCAATCACTTAGAAGGTTTGACAGTCTTAAATCATAGCTAGTTTCTAATAAGCATGCTTGTTCTTGCCAAGTGCTCCACCCTCAGTGTCTAGGTGGGGGGGGAAATAACACCAATTTGACATGTATTGGTAGCAGTTACTACTTTGTATACAGGCAGTAGCATCTTTGAAGGCCTGTAAATCAGGACAGGTTCTTAAGCGCTTTGTTTTGTCTTTTGTTGAATCTCAGAAACGGCTAGTGAAGAAGAGTCTCCAGCACCTTCTTGCTCTCATCTGAACAGTGAAAGCTCCATCCCAGAAGATCTGGGCAGTCTAGCTGCTGAGGCTGTCCCATCAGAGACTATGGGCCATGGACAGCCAGAAAGCCTAGATCAGAGTACAGCTAATGAAGAAATGGTTTATTCTGAGGAGTTCAAGTCTGCCTCACCTGGCAAACTTGTGAGTTTTTATGCTATATGTATTTTAACGCTTGAAAAAAGCTATGAGAGAAGGAGTAAGCACAGCCATGCCAGTTGTCAAAGCAGAGATTAAACTATTTTCTGTTGGCAGTACCATTTTGCATTATCGTGCATACGCATTGTGATCAGGTACGTGCTGAAGTCTTGAGGAGAAATTGCTTCATCACAGAGTTTAGATATTTTTAAACTTGTGGGTAGTCTTGCAAAACGTTTTGCGTATGTCACGTAAGTATGCAGTATTAAGTGGTGGAACACTGACCCAGTTTACCAGTATAAATTAGCTGTAGGCTAGCTTGTTACCATTGTATAAATTCTTTGAGGCCATGGAAACTATGCTCTGGTTTTCCGCATTGCTTTATTTGCAAGTAATGTACCCCAAAGTATAAGTATAGGATGAAGAAGCAGAGTTGTAATGCCATGCACAACCATTTGGGTTTCAGATTATGTCTGTGCAGTAGCTAATTCTACCTTATTGTTCTGTTCCAGCTGTTCCATAACTGCTATTTCTACTTGGTTTATAATTTTTGTCAGTTTCATCCTGATAACTTTGCTCTGTGCTTAGTGAGACAGAAAATGTGGTGTCTGTGGGGTAAAAGAACTGCTCATCTAGAGTTTCTATAGTTATGCTATACGAGTATCCACACAGTTTTATATTCTAGAAATATTTCTAGAGTTATTACAAATATTTTGTTGGAAAGTTTGCTGAGAAGATAGTGAGGTAAAATGTCTAATATGTGCCAGAGGTTACATCCAAGGTGTGTGAAAGGTTTGTGGTATAATGTCAAAGCAGTAAGCAGCACTGTGGGAGAATGTTTGCTCTTAGAATTGTTTGCCTCGCCTCAGAGAAATGCTCTGTTGTTTTACTTATTTAGAATGTCATATTGCACCCCTTACATCAAATGGTCCTTTTGATTTCACTGATATATTTACTGGGAATTCCTATTGCTGTGCTTGTTACCAAATAAGATTACATAAACTGTATCGAATGCCTGTGGGTCAGAACCATGTCAGTTTACATAGGTGAAAATAGAGTAGTCTAAGCAGGTTTACTGAAATCTAGGCTCAAAGTAAGCAGTCAGCTATTTCTGCTCTTCGTATTCTTGTTTTGTTGTCTAGCAAACTGATATTCTTCTTAAGACAGTTGGATAGGTACCACTGCTTGTGAGATACTCTCTAGTCATGCTGTTCCTTCCTTGTAACTAGCTCCTGATGACAGTGATCTCCTACTTTTCAAACAGGTCTTTACAAGCAATAACTTATTTGTCATTCTCTTTTGCCATAGTCTCCTTCCAGAAGCAGCATATCTGTATCAAGGCAAGATTCCAGTAAAGGCAGCCATAGAACTGGAGGACAGCTACGTTCACCTGTAAAGTCTCATCAGCTATCTCACAACTGGTCTGATGAATCTTTATCTATGACACAGTCAGGTAAGTGTAATATCTGCTTGGGTTTAAATTGCTTTTCCATAGCTTTTGCTTTTAGCAAATAAACTTGAAAGGCAGACACAGATGTGGGGAGGCCTGGAAATTGCCAGGCTTTGTGGATTTGTGGGAATATTTTCCCATGACGTAATTTGATCACTTCTGCTTAAGAAGGTCTATGTATTACCTCTTCTTTTAGAAAACAACACAGGTTCCTGCAAACAGGTATGAAATAAGGGTGAGTAGTCAGGGTGGTCCTAGAATTTAAAAATACCAAGCTTATCTGTGTTTTAACAGGTGACACATCTCCAACTGTCATGTTGTAAGAAAGCAGAATATGGTTCAGCAGCGTACAAACATGATTGTTCTCCTTCTGAACACAGCCTGGCTTCAGAAGCAGTATAGCTTTGTTATCATGGCAGTATGAGTGAGCCCATTGCACCTGCCCTAGCATGCACAGAATGGATGGGTGCTTCAGGAACCATGTTTTTATTTTTAGAGGAGGGTTTGAACTGTGTGCAGTAAAATAGGGCCTAAGGTTGCATTTTGAGCTGTAAATTGCAAGATCTACTATATGGACTCATTATACTCTTTTACCCAGTATCAAAGCTGGCTACCAGTAAATGCTAAGGGAGAAAATATTAGAAGTGAACTGGTATGGAACAGTCCTTTCCCTGGTGTGTTCTCACAGTCTGTTAGTCACATGGATTGCAGGACTTCCTGCGCCGTGGTTCAGTGGTCACTATTGTGAGCTCTGGTAAACTAAAAGTCTGTTTTGAACCTTTCTGTACTTCTGGTTCTCAAATGTGTATTCCCCAGTGCAGTTGACAGAGTATCATGAAATACTTCTAGCAAATGAGACAGCATCTTCCTGCCTTTTTTTGTTTTAATTTCCTAAACTCATTCTTAAGTCTTTACTGGGAAAAAAAAAACACAAGTGGCTCTATTGTATGTGCTGGCTGTTGTTCGTGTCTAGATGGATGGCTTCCTGGTATGTGTACATACCCAGTCATTGTGGTGCTTGATGCAACAAGCTTAATAATTTTTATTTTGGGTGGGGTTTTCTGTTAATATTGTATACGTGATTGCAGTAGAAACACAGAAATTGGAGGCAGCCATTCTCCTGATGGATAGATAAATGAATACATGACACCTAGGTATGTGTACTGAGTGATTTGTATTGGGATTCTGTCTGGAGAGCATTCAATAACTTGATTATTTAAAGTTCTGACTGAGCAACCACGTAAGAAAGCTATTTGAAAATTAAAGCATGTAAAAAGGGGTCATGAAAACAATCTTTTGTAAAATAAAGTGTTTGCAACCTTTGATTTCAAATGTTGAGGAAGGTTATGAGGTGAGAAGCTGATCACAATGGTGCTGGTTTCACAATATATCATTCCATTGTAAAGAGACAAATCTCCCGAGCTGCTGAGTAGTAATGAAGTCATTGCTATGTCAATCCTATCCATGCGTAGACAAGATCATTAAAGATGAAAGCATGTGCAGATCTTTCCGTTATGAGTTGATCAAGAAAAGATATAATTATATAGTGGTCACGTGAGAGGAGTTTGTTCATTACAGGGACATTATGAAGTACTCCTGATTAGCTAGTAAGATTCCATTCTTTTTGTGCTGTTTCCTTTGTTGTTGTTTTTTTTTTAATTCTCTAAATTATTAACAGCAGTTGTTAATGGCAAAAGAATACAGTAGTTTGATTGTATTTACTGCCTGTTGGTGGTGGTGCAATCCTTCATTATGGTGGTTTGTTGTCGTGGGAAATTTGATTAGCAAAATGTCGAGCTGTTCCTGCTAGCTGACCAGATAATACTGGTGACTTTAATTCTAGGATGTTCAATAAAGCGATTGATGATTATGAACATCCAAGCTTTTTGGTCCAGAAAACATTGTAGGTAATACTGAGCATTATAAAAGCAAACCAGACAAGTTCCTTCTTAAGAGCTGTAGCTGCTGCTGTACAAGTGGAAGTGGGACATAAGCTGCTGGGAGGAGCTTCAGTAAGGCTATGTCAGATCAATATTTTGAAGAGGTTTTGATACTTAACTGTGGTAGCACCAGTGTGAGACAAAGATCTCATTTTGCACTGTGTTCATATACATTTTAAACAAGAAACAAGTGGACATAATCAGGTGTGCAGAAAAGAATAAGTAACGAGACACGAAGTCAGTCTCTCTGTAAAATCTGAGAGACTGAGAGGTAATTACAGCAAAAACATCAAAAGTAGCAGAGTTACTGGTAGAATGGGGTTATCATGCAGAGAATGGATCTAAGTGTCTGGTGTCAGTGTCCAAAGGGAAAAGAGGTAGAACATTATCATAATCAGGACTGGAAAACCAGGTTGCAGGGAGTTCTGGGGTTGGAAAGGAATGGAGATCATATTAAAATTTATGAAGAATAATCATTAAAGAAAAATAACGTTCAGGTGGAAAACAGCTACAGTCAGTAATGACATCATAGGAGGATCTGTAAAACTAAATTTGGATCAAAGATAAGCCAAGTAGCTTTATATAAGCTATTTTTGAGCAGTCCACCACATGTCTAAGTTCAGTGCTACCCCCATTCACCCTGAATAAATTGTCATCCTGAAGCCTGACAACAGTGAAAAAATCTCTGCATGGTTCAAACTGACTTTCCTTCCAGCAGTTGAGCAGTCAGCTCTCAATTTCATAGATGGATTTAATCTACATGGCAAAAAATGTAAATGGGCCAGAACCCTATTTTGCAGTCCGCTGTTCCAAATAAAATTCTCATCACTGAAGTGTACCCTGCATCTTGAAACTGTGTACTGTGATTGTAAACAAGTATTTTTTTAATATATTTTTGATATGCATTTTTGAGTTGTCATATTTTTTAATATGTCAGAAAAAATTAATTTCAGCAACAGCTGACATGATAAGCTGTTAATGAGGTAGCAGCATAAACATCGGTGGTTGATGTGAACAAGTTTAGGAACAAGTACTGTATCAGAGCCTTTCTCTTTTAAATAAGATGCAACTCTCATATGTTGTATACTAGTGTTATGAATCTGAGAGCCTACTTTAAGAGACTTGGGATGTTACCATGTTGACATTAAATTCTTTGAGATTTTGCTTGGACCATATGTTTTATTTACTAGACTGTTTATTGCTTTGTGTAAAACTGTTCTGTGAGGTGGAAGTTTGCAAAGACTAAAACAAAACTTTTTCAGAAACCACATCTGATCAAAGCGACATTGAAGGACGGATCAGGGCCCTGAAGGATGAACTGCGGAAAAGGAAGTCTGTGGTTTACCAGCTGAAAAAGGAACAGAAAAAAAGACAGAAGGAGAGACTGAAGGCCCAGGAAGCCAGTTTGATCAAACAACTAGAGGTTAGCAACAGTAGGAAGAAGGGTGACGTGAAAGATCATTAGCCTTGGATAAACCATTACAGTATGGATGTTGTTGGCAGACTATCCTATCAACAGCTATGAAAGACATATTATTGTGACTGTGTTCTGGCTATTAAAACATTTTCAATAATGAACCACAGCCTTGAAGCAAAAATGCTATTCCCTTCTAAAATTTATATCTTGAATGGGTTACTAGCAGTGCTCAGGGGGCTTATGTATGTTTATACACATTAGTATCTGAGCCTAGATTAAAGAGTGTAATTGATTTTTTATTTATTTTTTTAAGTATAGTATTCAGAGAAACCAAGTGTCTTCTTTATTAACTTAACAGGTTTTGATTACCAAATTGTAATTGTGGTTTTATAGATTGACAGCCATAACTTTTCTGTGTGCAGTCATATGATGAGTTTATCAAGAAGACTGAAGCAGAGCTGAGCCAAGATCTGGAGACATCGCCAACAGCCAAACCTCAGATTAAAACTCCATCCTCAGTTGCTGCTGAAAAACCTAAGATCAAGGCACCACCGCTCCATAGGTAACTGGGATTTCTTCTTCTTTTTGAGGAACTGTGGTGAATACTGTTTTAGGAGAAACCATGAGTTTAGCAGAAACTTTAAACCCAAACAGATAACTGAAACATTAAACCATGAGTTTTAGCTAGTTTAGAGACTGGACAGTATCCTGCTGACCTATTTGCTGCTCTCACTGAACCCAAAACAGATAAGGTGGACTGTCCTTGGAATTGTATGCACTTCCCTTTTCTCCTGCCCAGTCTTTCAGGTCCTATTTTCAAGTTCTTTCTGAACATCTTTCAGTTGTGCAAGATTTGAGCCAAGTGGTTTAGTGGATTACAAATGGGAAGAAATTTTTTTCTCGTTTTGGTCACTTCTTATGACCAGTATTATTGCCTGCAGCACTGTGTGAGGCAGACCATCTTTGCAACTTAAATCAGGTTTGGTTCTTGGGTTTTAAAAGGCAGAGAATTCAACCGATTTCTGCACTTCCTACTGTATTTTTAAGTGTTTCATTTTGTCCAGCAGATGGTGCAATTTTAGTGCATGCCAGTAAAAACCAAAATATTTTTAAAAAATCACTTTTCAGGACTTGCCAAACTCTTCTCTGCGTCCCCATTCCTATTTTCTAGGGTCACAGTATGGTGACAAAGCAAACTGCTTGTTATCATTGGTTTGGCCTTATAAATGCTTGCATTTCCACTTTTATCTATTCAAAAATAGAAAAAAAGACAAAGCAACACACTCTGGTTGTAGCCATGATTCATGCAATTATATTTTTCATATTTAGGCCTGAGACAGCTAAGAACTGGAAATCACTGGCTGAATCAGAGCGATGCAAAGCATCTTTGGAATCCATTTCAGAACATGCAGGTATGTAACTGGAAGAATTTGTACTACAGATGAAGATCTTGGAAGACTGTCTCTTAAAATTCTTTAAACTTCTCCTTGTTGATTCAAGAAGAGGTTTTAAGAGAGAATGCAGACTTCATAAAAGCGTAATGATCAAGCTGTATATTTATTTAGTAGGCTTCTGGTTTCATTGTTTCCTGTATATTCAGCATTTAGTTTTACTCTGCTGAGGTTTATGTGAAACCATAATTAAGTGACAACCTTTTCCCTTTCTTTTATTTCTTGTTTATTTGTCACGTCAGGAAAGTAAGAAAACAAAAAATAGTTAAGAATTTAGGAATAGGGTTGGGTTTTTATAGATATTCTTCAATGTTTGCTGTTGATCATTGTCTAATAATAATATACCATTCTAATATTGGTTGTATTTGCAGCTTGCAAACAAATAACTGAGCCCTTACTTCAGGGTCAGTGTTGTATGGCGTTGCAAAATAGTGGTACAGGAACAGTATCGGAGAAGAAGCATTAGAAACCTGGAAGTAAAAGAATGTTGCTCATGTTTATGGGACAGCTAGAAATATATGTTTCCAAGGCACCAGTTTGTAACTTCTTTAGCACAGAAACCTTACTGTTAATTTTGTTGCCTGTTGTTGCAGTTTTCCATTAAACAATGCAACTATAATTCACTTTTTATTTTCCTTCAAGATACTGTGTCATCAAAAACGGAGAGATCTGTGTCTGTACACACCAAGAAGGTGGCTGTGACAGATGTTCATGGAGAAGAACCTTCTGGAATACCTTCCTCAGTTTTAATGTCACCAGGGCATTCCAGAACAGGATCCGGTGATTCCTTAGAAAATGTACCGTTATCATGTTTTCTCAAAGACGTGAAAGACGTTAGCAGACTATCCCATGGGTCAGTGAGCAATGCGGTAAATGCATCCAGTGATAAGTCTGCCTTCAGTTACAAATCTGAGATACAGGAATACTTGGAATACCTGAGGTCAGAGGAACATGAAATTGAAGGTTCTCATGTCAAACCTTTGGAGAGTTCTGATGTCTTGTTGACATTAAGTAATGAACAGGAGAGCTCAAAGGACATCCTTGCAAAGCAAGTCCTCTGTTCTGAAAATGAACACTCTCAGAAGGAACTGTTTAGTTCGGCTGTGGAAAGTCTTCACGGTACAGAAAAAATCTTGGAACAGAGACTGACAAATAGACATGCTGTAACTGTCCAAAACACGGAAGAGTCTTCTTGCAAGCTCAGCAGATCTGCAGAGGAAAAAGGTTATCTGCTTTCGGAACATCTCTTTAGTGAAAAAGAGCCATCATACCTTGAAGACTTTGAAGGATCCACCTCCAGAAAACAAGCATCAATTGAAGAAATGCTTCCTGGGGAGCGTTACAAAGATGACTTTGAAGCATCTCTTCTTTCCCCTAATGGGGAGTCACTGAGAGAGCGGTCACAGCACACACAGACCAGCAGAAGCAGATCCACCAGCCTTGGCAGTGATGGCGAAGTCAGTGAATACCTCAGTGACAGGTCTCTCTCTCTCTCTGGCAGTGTGCATTCAGAGAGGCTATTAGAACTGAAGTCCCCAACAGAACTTATAAAAAATACTGAACGTAGAGATGTGGAGCAAGAGCAGGCCTCTGTTGAATCACCACTGTGGGCCGCTGTTTCAATCATAGAAGAAACAGATAGTTTGCCAGATTTCAACATTGGTGATAGAGTACTTGTGAGTAAAGTTCAACCTGGAACATTGCGATTCAAAGGTCTGACTAAATTTGCCAAAGGCTTTTGGGCTGGTGTAGAGTTGGATAAGCCTGAAGGGAACAACAATGGAACTTACGATGGTATCAAATATTTTGATTGCAAAGAAAAGCATGGTATTTTTGCTCCTCCTCAAAAAATCTCTCACATTACAGAAAGTACCAATAGCTATTTAGACACAAGCAATGATGAAAACTCATTCTTTGATGATAGACTGGAGAAGCAATACAAAGCCTACCAGAAAGACAGAGGAAGTTCCAAACCTGGCAAAGAGGATGAAAGCCAGAGCAGAGATGTAACAGGGAACTATTCCCAGGATAAAGGTCCTGCAGACACAGCTGTTTCAGAAGCCTCAGCTGAGGAAAGGCTTGATGAGAAGTTGTCTTTTAAAGCAAACAGCAAAAACATTTCTGTAGCTATTGAATCATTTACCCAAGAACAGTCAGTGGTGGGTTATCTGAAGCATGTTGTAAAAGAGGAGGCCAGCCTTGCTCCTCTTATTTCTAGTGTTGCAGATGAGATTTCCACTGTTCAGTTGGATGACATCTCAGATTTCCTTTCTGAAAAACTGGAGAGGCAGAAGACACTGGGAGAAGAATGTGCTGAAAAGGTAGATGACCTCCTTCCTGGACTTGTGGAGAAGCCTGCAACTCCACTTCTGGATTTGCTGACAAAAGAGAAGAACCAGTTGGAAGCACAGCTTAGACTGCCACTTAGAGAAGAAGACAAGTCAAAAGACCAACTGGAAAAAGTCAGTTTGCTGACAGACCGTCTACTTAGAGATTTTGTAAAAGACACAGTTGATCAGTTACAGCAAATAAAGAAGGTCAGGAATGAGAAAATCCAGCTCAGCAACCAGGAGCTCTGTGATGTAAAAGAGGAATACAGTACCCCATCCCAGCAGGTAGAAAAGCAAGTTCCTGATGGACTGAATAGCTTTTTCCTGAGTTCTGAATTTGAAGATGAAAGAGAAGAACTTTCCTCTCCAGACATGTGTCCCAGACCAGTGAGTAGCAGATGCCTTGCACTGGTTTTAAGTTAATAATTCCTTTGACTGATGATGATTGAATCTGAGGAATGCTATGTAGCACCAGTTTGTTTTCTCCCAAGTTCTGTTGGATGATGTGTCCATGTCTTATGTGTCTTGTCTTATGTGTTTTTTCTTACATATCCCAGTTCATGGCTTGTTTTGGTAGCCCTACAGGCCAGAAGACACATTTTGGCACATGAAAGTGAAAAATACTTTTTCTAGGTTGCATTCTGCTTACACATTCAATTTGTATTTAATCCTTATCTTTGGTTTTTACTCTAAAAATGGCAAAATGCAATAGATTGTTAGCTTACCTCTGTTTATTCTTGATATGAAATAATGATCTCTAAACATAGTTTCTCTAGAGGTCATTAAGGTATCAGACTGCTCTATCCTCTCAACTAATATACCATGAGTAGTGGAAGTTCAGGCTTCCTCAGAACAATCATTAATGATACAGATACAGGGCTTGGCCTTTCTGCTGAAGATCCCAGTAAATCTGTCTGCTTTGCCATTGATCTCAATATATTATCATCACAGGAAGCTTTGGCCCATTTCACCAGTGTGAGCACTGCTCAGTCACTGAAACAGCCATCACCTGCTAAAAGCTTTTAGGCTGTTGATTTAGATCTGAGACTGCTTGTAAGAGAAGTGAAAAGTTGTATGTCACATTACCAGTTTTTAAACCACTCAGCCTTTTATGGAATTAAATGTTAGGACAGACAGTGGGCAGGATGCAGAGTCTTTTAAGCTCTGTAGGAACACTCTGAAAGCATTTCTCAAAAGTGGTAGAAACCCCAAGTATTTGAATCAAAACATTTTTAATTTTACAGTGGGATATTTATTATTTTCCTGAGTATTTGTGCATATATTGCCAGTTACACAAGTAGGGCATTTAAAAATGTAAGCTGAGTTAGACAGGAGTGTGACACTGCTTTTATATTTAATCTGTGTCTCTTAATTCACAGGAGAGTCCAGTGTTTGGTGCCAGTGGTCAGGAAGAGCTTGCCAAGAGACTGGCAGAGCTGGAGCTCAATCGGGAGTTCCTGAGTGTGCTGGGAGATGATCAAGACTGGTTTGATGAGGACTATGGCCTGAGTTCCCGTAAGGTCCAGCAGAAGCAGGCTGAGGAACCAGCAGTGCTGCCCAAGGTAGAACCTCAGAAAGTGCCAACAAAGCCATGTGAGGAGCCTTTGGCAGTCCCTCATACTGCAGTGGAGGTGGAAGTTATGGTGCACGCAGCAGCTGAAGAACTCTGGAAATTAAAGGAGCTGGGTCATGATCTTCAAAGTTTCAGCCTTCATACAGATCTTGATAGTACTCTCAAAGAGCAGGACACAGACACTATAAGCAAACAGGTTTACAAGAAGGTACAGTCTTCAGACAGTTTGTTCTTGCCCTTTTAATGTTTCTCATGAACAACAGAAGCCTTAGCTTTTACTTCTTTTTTTATTAAGGTGGTATTTGATTTAACAAGAGAGATCTTTGGGGAAATGTTTGCTGAGGATCCTAATCTAAATCAGCCTGTTTGGATGAAACCATGTAGGATTGCATCTGCTTACTTTCGCCGAGTGAAAGATCCAAATGATCTGGATGAAATCAAGGTAGGAAGAAACCTTTGCATTTCAGGGAATGTGAGATGAAAAATCATTGTACTGGCACTTGCCTGAGTGTTGAAAGATCATACCAGGTGTATCCACCAAGATAAAAGCTGAGAAAACAAATGAGATTGCAAACCTGAAAGGGAGTTTGTCAAAATGGTCCAGGTTTTTATTCAACATGCTTGCTTCCCTGTCCTTTTGGCTGGTACTGGTTGCTTTTAAACCTCAGTCCTCTGTGCTGAACTGCCAGGATGACCTTGATTTTATAAAATTGGTATGCTGACAGTCTGCTGCTTTAGCAGATTTCAGTGGAACTCTGTACAGGCATGGATCCAAGGGTAGGGTTGGGCCAAATGGGATGAGCTGGATTTTTTTGCTCAGACACACCTGTGCCAGCCTCGCTGAGGACAGTGGGAGTTTGTAGGAGGGACCCAAAAATTGACTAGTGAGGGCATTGTTGTATTTGGTACACCAGAGGAGGTCTCCTGTTATCTGAGGTAGTGCTCAAGAAAGGACAAAACTCCAGAAGGCTGGAGCATGACTGCACCTAGGTTAAACTTGCAGGGCTAGACATTTGGAAAAAAACTGTCTCTGAAAATGAACAACAAAGAGCCTTCCATACAGCTCACCAAGACACAAATGAAAATTTCAAACTATGAAGACTTCCTTCTCCCCCCGCTCTTCTTGCCCCCCTCCCCCACTTTGGAAGGTGGTAATTGTATTTAAAATGAATTGTCATAATCTGTTTGCTGTTGTGTTTAATTGAAAGTTTCTGTTCTCAGGATTGTCACAGAAGTGGGTGTCATTCTCCACACACACACACACACACACACACACACACACACACACACTTCTGGATTTAATAATTGTTCCTCCTGTTCTGCCTCAAAAACTTTCGTTCTGACTTCATGCATACACCCTGTGTGTCTTAGATAAACAGAAAGGTACTTTGTGCATACATTCAATTTCTTAGGCCCAGTGTGATAAATCTTACCTTTACTGTTCTGTAGAGCTTCATTGCAGCTGAAGTACTGAAGTTGTTCAGCCTCAGGAAGGAGCCTAATCACAAAACAGACTGGCAGAAGATGATGAAATTTGGGCGGAAGAAACGAGACCGAGTGGATCATATACTGGTCAGTGGATGAAAATAAGCAGTTATGTCACATACTGTCCACCAGACTAAAGCGTGACATACAGTTGCATTTTTCAGTATTCAGTCATGCTGTTTAAAGAATCCAAAGTGTCTGTGAGGTTGTGTTTTATTTAAGAGAGCACCTGAATGACAAAAAGAGAAGTCTAGTACCAGTAAGTGAAGTAAGGTGACTTGAGTGAATTAGCTGTTCATACCTGCTAGTTTGGCTGGGTTATAAATTTGCTTACTGCCAAAAGGTTAAAGCATGAATTCACAGAGGAAGCACTGAAATATTTGACTGAAAGGAGAGTAAACTTTTTTCTTTGGGAAGGGAATATGTTTTTCTTCTTACTTTATTTTAAAATATTTTAATATTGAAGTACTGTCAATCATTGGAGATAGTAATATGGAAAATTTAATAGGCCAGACTGCTAACCAGATTCACCTGAAATGTTTCAGAGTCATTGAGCTAGAACTGCAAAGACTTCAAAGAGATAGTATGGAACATGATAGTCCCTGGTAGAAGGTAACCAGTCTTGACAGATGGTACACACAGCTGAGCGTTTCCTCTAGTACTTGACATGAACTAGTGAATGCAGCTGCCACTACAGCAGAGACAGTTCTGTGTTAAAACTGCGTAAGAGAGCGTGTCTGGCTGTGTACTAGTTTTTGAAAGTTACCTGTTGGCTTGTATTGCACAAAGATTAACATCTTTATTGGCTATAATGATAGTGAAGGTTCTGTTTGGGAATATGAGTCATCATGGACTGTGCTTCACTTAATTATACCTGAAATTGATTCCACACATATAAGTAATTTTGAGTCATGGGTCGTGTGGTCTTTTAATTGTCCATCAGTGGAAGGTTTCCAACACAGGCTTTTTCCCAGGGTTTTAATTGTGTGTAAATAGAATATCTAAGCACAGAACTTGCATATCATAGGAAGCTTGACTTGGGGATATAAAGGCTATTAAAGCATGCACAAAAAAAGTCCTATGATTAGAACCCTGAGAAAACTAATGGTACAACTTATTTACTAATTACTAATTTCTTTGAACCATACCTAGAAAGAAAGATTCCTGACTGGAAAAAATTATTCTAATTAAAGGCATCCAAAGTGCTTTAAATCAACAAGTTCAGATGATCTGATCTGCAACTTAGATGCAGACTCAGACATCAGAGATTAATGGAGCTCTGACAAGTTTGGCTTAATAAGTAATGTGTTTAATTTTATTTTGTTCTCACAAGAATATGGTAATAAAATTTTAGCTGAAGTCTGGGAATAACTCTGTGAAGGTTGCAGCAGTGATTTAGGAATAAGGCTGTCCTGGTGGCAGTGCTAGCAAATTCATACTGTAATATGAGACACTATAAGAGAAACTTCTGACTGAAAATGTAAGGAGTGCTCAATTTATCTTACCTTGTTTTATTAAAATTTCTGTAAAACACGAAGTATCTGGATAGTTTCCTAGTGAGCCTCTAACTTGTGCTTAAGGTCATGAGTTCTGTGATAACACAAATCCTATGTCGTAAGCGGATATACAGGCCTGTGAGAGATCTGCTACCTACCCCCTAGTAGTGGGTACACTCACAGTGTAGCCCTAAACGGAGAGGTCAGTTCTGGAGTTTTACAAATCTTGTTCGAAGTATATTTAAGTAGTGCAACACAGCAGTTTCCTGAAAGACAAATCAAGGCTTTTTTGTTAAGTTTAGGTGTTGTGGAAGCTTCTTCAGAAATCATAATAAAAATTGTTCAAGTTTTTGTGAAAATTTAGCCAATAGACACCTCTTGCAACGTGCAGGAAGTGTCAAGTGAATACATATGAGCTGATTGATTCTTCACATTCTTTTGCCGCTTATAAGGCAAAGGCTGTTAAAATAAAACATGATTTCTTTAAAGCAAAGGTAAACATTCTTAGGCTTCTGTTATTTGCATGTAAACTTTGAGCACAGGTCCTTCCCAGTTTCTTCATTTCCCCAAGCAAAACTAACTTTCAAATGAAAACATCCTTTGATAGTTTTCTGTTGAGGCAACTATGCATTATTAGTTACTTAAGTGAGAGGGTTGAACACATCTGACTGTTCAATACGGTCTGACCCAGTATTGGACAGGAACTAGGCATGACTTAATTTCTTCTGAAGGCACAGAAGCAAGTGCCAGGCTTACTCTCTCACTGTTTATCCCTGGATGTGTCTTTCTGGGTTTATTATACTACACCAATTCCCAGTAGTTCTCATCTCCACCAAAGGTTCAGCCCTGTGGGGAAGGGGCAGGGCAGTAGAAGCAGCCTGTGCTGCATTGTTGCTTTTCTGTGATCTGGGTTGTGTGGGTGACTGCATGGGAATGCATCCTAAATGCATTTGCACTTTTCTCTGTGCTTCCCTAGCATTGACACCAATATAGTTAGCCTTTTTTCTTTCTTCCAGTGACAAAAAAATGTCTTCCTCTTACCCTTTTCTGCAGCACTGTTAAGTTTGATCAGGCATTTTGGTCCTCAGAAGGCATTTATATTGGTATTTCTTAAGAGCTCTTTCTCATCTGCTGGATAGTTGCTCCGGTTATTAACATTTAGAGCAAATCTTCAGTAAATAAGTACAGGGAAGATCTCATTTGTGAGAAACTACTTTGTTCAAAATAAGGTTAAAGGAATGTTTAGGTGTTTGCTTTCTTCTTCTGTGTGTTCGCATTGCCACCTTTATCGTGTGTATGCTGTCTGTGCTTTGTGGGAAAATCACAAATGTAGATGCAGGCTGAGGTGCTGCATTTCAGTTCATCAGGGCTGCCTTCATCTTTCAAAACCTCTGTTTAAGCTACAGCAAGAGCTCTCATACCTCCTCATTTAATTTCAGGTGCTAACAATAGACTGTTTCCACTCTTTTTTTTTTTTTCCACTTGGGTCTTCAGCCAAAAACTCCTGATGCTGATCAGTTTGCATGGGGTTAGAACAAACTCTGCTATTGCTTTCCCTGCCACCCTCTCTTCCCTTTTATCCTGAGCTTGAGAAAGCAAAGCTCACATGATACTGCCAAGCCTATGTGTTTAGCTTTTGCACCTGAGAAGCTTGCCAACAGAGCGCTGAAAAGTATTCGATCTTCTGACCTTTTGACTTAACATTTAAGGTGTTTCTCTTTGTGCAGAAACTCTGTAACAAAGCAAAGCTGTTCCTATAAAGCTGGCTTAAGGAGGAGTCCCACTTCTGTGGCACCTGACCTCTAAACCCAAGGGGAACGTAAGAGTTAAAGAGCATCAAAGCCTGTTTGCACACACACTTGAGGGTCTTAAGATTTCCAGACACTTGGAGAGCAGAAAGTTGTGAGAATGCATCTGCCTGCCTTCCTGCTACTGGTGTTCTTTCAAGGCACTAGTTTACATCTGCAGTTTTACTCTCCTAAATGATCTAGTCATCAAATGTAGTTTAGTTTGCAGATATTCATCTTTTGAATGGAAACCTTCAGAAATCAAAACTTAATAAGTTACTCTTTAAAATTTCCTCCAGATTATATTATTTTAAGCAATGTCTTTGGGTACTGTAGCATTTATTAAATGGCCAGCAGGGTCACACTATTTTGTTACCTCATGATTTTTCTTTTGTGTGCATGCCCCCTTGCTTTCCTTCTGTGTTTTTTTAAAAAAACCAAACATGAGTACAAAAACAAAGGGCACATTAAAAAAAACAAACATACAACAGCCTTCTGCACTGTATCCCTGTTTATCTTTTCCTGCAGGATGGAATTCAGTTTCATTAAAACTTGTTCTCCTGACTTTCCCCAAATGCAGTTTCTCTTTGGTATAAAGAACTTCTCCATATCAAATATGTGGAGTTTTATTTTTGTCACAACAATGTGCAAGAACTTACATGCTCTGCATGTACTAAAGACAGTGCAGAGTCCACTTCCATCAAAGCCGTAATAGTCACCAAATACAAGCAAACTTACTCCATTGCTTAAGAGTTGTTTGTGGTAATACAGCAAATGGGTCAAACCTTTCCCTGGCCAAGGAGTTGCAACTGCCTTGGCTCAGATGTCTGCAGCTAAGACTGCAAAGCAGCACAGCAGTTTCCATGCATGCTCTTGGATATACTATATTCAGAACACACACACACATGTGTACACACACACAAACACAAACTGCATATTCTCTTTAGTTTTCCAGAACTACAGTTGAGGAAGTCCTAATGTCAAAGGAAATTGAGCATCTGAGAGGGGAATAGCATAGGCAAGAGAAAATCAATCACTGATAACTGTTTTCCTTTCTTCATCTTTCTACTGCTATTTAACATCCAGCCCTTCTCTGCCTGGATCATGTTACCTTCTCCTCCCCTGTTTATATTATCCCATGTATCCCTTTTTTCCTCCTGGAGCACAGTAAAGGAATTGTCCCATCATGTTGTTGCAGGTGAGGCAGAATAAACAGCACCCTAGTGTGGATCTTGATATTGGGGTTTGCTTAAGGGCCAGTGTGATCAAAGCTTTTAGCCTGATTGATTATTTGACTCACTCATTTCCACACACCCCCAGCATTACATTCACAAGGTCTTGACTTTGCTTCCCAGCAGTGAGGTCACTGCTGGCCTGGGAGGGCCCAGCAGAAAATCTCACCACTGGTGTGGTGCCAGTGCTCCCAGTTACCAGTGTTGGGTGTCATCGGTCAAGGTCCCTGGGTGTGTCCCAGCATTTGTTTCCATCCACCTCCAACATCTCCAGGATCTTCCCCCATTTCCAGAATCTTCCCTACAGCCAGGATCTTCCCTTTCATGCTTTGGGACCCCTGTTCTCTTTCTCAGACCACTTCTGCTTTTTGGGAACCTTTCTTTTTAGCGCCACCTCTTCTTTTTGTGACCCCTGTATCTTGCTTTTCCTCATATAAATAGTCCGTGATGCAGACACACAGCACATGGTAAGTCTCAAAATCAGTGCTTCTGTCCCATGCCTCTTTATTGATGGAAGGATCTGGGACATGCTGCTATTCTTTAGCCCAATGTTTATCAAAATTTACAGCCAGTACATAGTGTTTGCAGGGAGCACAGTTCTGCTGGAGAATTCAGAAGGCTGTTTCAGACATCCATGTCTACACAAACTTAGACCCAATTACCTGCTGCTTATTAGTATTCACTTAAAATTGTTTTTCACTTACAGCAGTCATTCAGAGTTTGATTGCCAATATTGTTGCTTCTTCCTTGTTAGAAAGTGTAGTGAAACCATTAACACCTCACCTTTCACAGCTATATAGCAAATGAGGGCTGTGCCAAAGAGCAGTGTTCGCTGTGGTGACACAGATTTGTGAGCACCTAGCATGACTCTTACAAAGCTCTTTGTAGGATGAAATCCCAGCTCCTTTCCTCAAGCTGTCTTAAGAGTGGGAGAAAGAAGCTGTCAGACTGAAACCACATGTACAACTAAGACCTTATGAGTAGCTACAAACCCTGAAGCAGTGCCAGTTCCCTGGGGTTCCCATAGCAGCCTGATCTTGGGCTTCACACTGCATTTGGGTTATTGAATCATCATTAGGCTACAGCAGCTGTCACCTTCCAAATGGCCAAATTTGTGGGTGGTTTAGCTTCAGGCAAAAGGAAGGGTATTGGGGGTATAGCACTAGTACTCTCTTTAGATGATAACATTAGATATTGATACTGAAATACTGGATTTTCAGTATGTTTTAACCTTGTTCTGTCAGTGTCTTAAGTGTCTGGCTCACTTGTTTATGTGGACATGCATTTTCAGTTCAGAGTGCAGGAATTACAGTCAGAGGAGCTTTCTGCTGAAGCTGAGCAGGGAAAGAGCTTTTAGCAGGTTTTCTTTGTCATTTTAAATGAGTGATGTTTGCACCCACTCTTTTCTCAAGTGTTTGAGCTTTGTCAGGATGTGTCTGTAATACTGAAACGGTCACTAAGACAAATTTTTAGGAAGTTTAATTGGAAATGTCCAGTTTGGAGAGAGTCTTGATATGACTTTGATTTGCCAAATGAAATTGCATATTTCTGTCTGTTACTAAAACACCTATTTGCCAGTGGCCAGTAAAACAGGATTTTGTTTGTAGACAATTTAGGAATAGAAAGAAATAAATATTTTTCGAGTTACTGTTTTAAATGTAATGGCACAAAATTCCACGTGTAATAATGATGTCAAATCCAACGAAGTATGGCATATTCTGTGCAAAGGGAGTTGTAATACTGTCGTACAACACATGCCAGCATTTTGTCTTCCTGGAAAAATTATTTCCTTTAGGTTTTCTAATTATTATTTACATAAACTGAACTGCAGAAAAGTCTTTTCTTTTTCTCCTTACCCTGTTCAAGGCCCTTGCACAATTTCTGACCAGATTAAGCTGCATGGAATCAGCTTCTTGCAAATAAACAATTAGGGATTTTTTAAATGGAGCTTCTGCTGTTGGCCAAGAGCATCTCATTAGCTGAGTTCTTTCAAATGAAAAACTTGTGCACAACTCCTTTAAAATGGGTACTACAGTGAAAGATGGAAAGCATTCATACAGTGAAATAGCCTGGTTCAAATAGATCTGTGTTCATTTTGCTATTCAAAGCATTTCCTGTAATCTCTTACAAAGACAGATATGTTGTTGGCAGATGTGTGCTGTTTTTGACTCTTTCTGGAACTTTGCAGGAGTTACTATCCTAAAGCAACAGAATTGTAATATTTGTATTGCCTTTCTGCCCTCCAAGGTACAGGAACTTCATGAGGAAGAAGCGCAATGGGTGAACTATGATGAGGATGAACTGTGTGTAAAGATGCAGCTGGCAGACGGGATCTTTGAGGCCTTAATCAGAGACACTGTTGATGTGCTCAACCAGATAAATGAGAAACAGAGGAGACTGCTGCTTGTCTAACAGTGCTGAAAATAAACTTACAGCTGCTTAACCACTGAATCAGAAGCCAGCCTTTCCAACTCCTGACATACTCTCCACACTGCAAGTGCTGCTGCTGGACTTCCTTCCATGTGTGGGGTTTAAAGGCAGTTCAGATGTGATTGAAAGAATCTGAATTTGCATCCGCTGCCACTAGAGACCTCGCACTGGATTTGGAACAAGCTGATCCTTCACTCGAGGCTGCACCAGGGAATGCTCAAGACTGTTTGTGTGCCAGTACAGTTATGTCACATAACTGTCAGCAGCTGTCTGGAGCCCTGGCCTGGGGGTTTGACATGTTCAGCTTGTTCTCTGAAAGGGTTGTGGTAAGTTGGAATATTAGCTCTTTTGCTGGAATGGCTGTCGGCCATCAGTATTCACCTTGTCTTTAGAAATGTGAGTAATTGGGAGAAGAAATGGTTTGGTCAGGTTTTAGTCTTAAATGGAGACTTATCATACTGAACAGTGTTATATAATCCTAACACCTCTTCTCCTGCAGCCAACCTTACCAATGTGCATCAGTTTCTTTTGCTCCAGAGCCAGTTTAATTCCCTTTTCTGTGAAATTGGTCTTCACCTTTCTTCTGTGACATGGTGCCAGGTGTGGTGCCAGCCAGTCCAGGGTGATGATGTTGCTTTCTGCATTCAAGTAAAAAATTCTTGCTGCTTTTCCTATATAACTTAAGTTTCAGTCCCAAGGTGGAGCAAGATAAACACCGCCTAACATCAAGTGTTAAAGGTGAGCCCGTGGACAACTTTCCTCCTACCGTGTAGCACTTCTCTTCCTAGAGCATCAGCTGCTCCCAGATAATGGATACTCAGGATTTACTCAGGCACGAGACATGCAGGAGTAGGAAACTTTTCCTCCCAAAAATTTGGCCTTCAGTCCCTCAGCTTCCTCCCTTACTGTCACCCTAATAACTCGGAGAAGCTGTTACTTGAACAATTTAGAGAACAGAGTGTATTCACCAAAGAAAGTGGGGTCTGGTGCTTTGACTGTCTGCATGTTTTGTGCTTGTGGGTTTTTTATTTATTTTCAGATAATTTATTAAGTGGATTATAGCAGAGTGTCCTGTGCAGTTGGCTGCACTGTCTTAGTTTTGAGACAGCCGAACTTGAGAAAGCATCTGTTCTGGAATATTCCAGAGCCCTGTACTATTCACACAAAACCTCCAGCTTCTTGAGGCAAATACGGGGGGAAGGTGAGAAGAACCAAACCCTGGTAACGAGGAGTGGGTGCAAGGGCAAGCACTAGGAATGAAGCTTCACCATACCTGGTTCAGAGACAGTGGAGAGTTGAATGGGCTGAGCTTGAAAAAGCTCTTGTCTGTTTCCTTCCTATCCCAGACCTTCTAGGCCATAGGCAGCCGTTACATGGTTGATTTGGTACTGGGTTCAACTGCAGCATCCTTCTGTTGAGTGCTGTTCCTAACCTGTTCCTCCCATTCTTGTGTTTTTGTTGGAGGAACATAGACAATCTGGGGTCAAATGTTGATGCCTTAATAGTGGATGTCTGTGTTTGCTAATGTGGGTCAAGACCCAGAGGAGTGTCACTTTCTCCACACACACAGAAGTGCAGAAAGACATTTTGAAGCCCACAGAGGTACCCCAAAGATGCTGCAGCCCACAATAGGTGTGGCAGGGATCTCTACCACTTGGTTCATCTGTTTGGTTCTTGGGCTTCCTGCTATGTTCTTGATTTTGCTTTCTTTTCCACTTTTTTTTTTTTGAGGGGGGAGGGGAGCTATCATTGGAATATTTGCATTTTGCACAATGACACATAGCTGGTAATTCTTCAGGGACAGCACTGGGAAATGTTGGATTTGTCAGAGGTCCATGCAGATTCTCAGATGTAGTATTGCCAGCACCTCACTTGAGAGTTAATGGAGAGCCATATTGATGGGAGCTTAATGAGTGGAAGAACAATGAGGAGGAGGTAATGGTGTATAGGAACACCTCCGACAAGCATATGTGTGTCTCTTCCACTGTAGTGGCCCTTCTGGCTAGCTGGAAATAAGTGGTCTTGGTGGAGCAGTGTTCAGGTTTACCCCCTTCCCTCCCCCCCCCCCCCCAAGTAGTTCATTTGTCCACATAAAATGTCATTGTGCTGAACCAAGAAACTCTTGACTGCTTAAGATAGAAGCAAACTAAAGCTGCTATGTTTAACCAGCATGGTGTCACTGATTGGGTCACCGCCTCAGATTCCCTTTCCTGGGTATATCACTTTCAAAAGTGGGGATTGCTATTTTTATAGGTAGCAGTTACAGAAAGAAGGCAGAAACCAGCAGCACAGATTTATAGATGGAGTATCAGAGAAACAAAGTTGGTTTCTGTTCTGTAGATACCATGGCGGGTGTTGGGAAGGTTGCCCTGTGCCTCTGAAACTTTTTGCTGTTCTGCAGGGCTGGCATAGCTTTTCTGGACTGCCCACCAGCAGGGAGAAGGTTGTACAGTTGGTCTGTGGTGCCAGAGACCATTGGAGGTCATGTGCCTGTTGTCTTGCTGGCTTGGGTAGCACTAGTTTAGTACCCTCAACACTAGTAGTAGCTATTTTTGCAGCTGTTTGGGCAGAAGGAAGCTGTATCTAATTAATGGCGTTATTCCTTTGCAAACATCTCTGTTTATTTTTGGTAGCAATCCTTGCTAGAAGCAACCCTAAAAAGACTTGAACGTACATGAATTACCTTCTCAATACCTCAAGTGTGTTGAGTTGCTTTGAGTTGAGTATATACTCAAGTGTGTTGAGTACCTGTAGACTGATGATTACTGCGATGAAGAAATGGTCTGTCTCTGTCGCAGCTGGTAGCAAGGAGGTATGGGGAAGCCTGGAGTCTCACAGACAGACTGAATTCTCTGTTTCTTTCTAATCCCTAACCTTCCCATTGTAAAAAACAAGATGATATTTCTGGGTCCTGGTTATCTTGGTGCAACTAGATTGGAAGATTCAAGGCTGAGACATTTTTCTGAGACCCTTAAGCTGTCTGGGGCAGTGGCTGTTGTCACTGGGGAGATGCAGTTCCCTCTTCAGAACGATCTTGGTGCCAGGTAGGAAAGCCCAGGCTTGTGAGGACAAGGAGTGTGAGTATCTCTGTCAGAGCAGGATGCTCCCTGAGGCGAGCTGTGGAGTATCAGTACTTCTGCCTTTCAGAAAAGGCTTGTTGCTCACAGGGTGGAATGAGGGATTGAAAAATCCCGTCTTGTTCACTTTCCTTTCTTGAAAAAGTGGCCTTAGCTTTTTGCAATACTTGAATAAGTGTGTACCTGCAGAAGATCTTCAGTAGCACAGTGATAGAGACCTTTTAAATTACTATTCTGGAAGGAGCTGCATGCAGTTCCAACTTTCATATCCCTTTGCTACCTTAAAAATATTAGGAAAATAAAGTACTTTTCAGCAGAAAAACAGTTGACTCTTACAAGGTATTTAGTGCATCTGAAGTGTTTACAAATCAACTAAAACGGAGAAAAGCAAGCTGTTGAACTTTCTTGTAATTTAAATGTTAAATGCAAAATTATATACAGATGAAAGAAGAATACTGTAATTAACCTGCATTTACTATTTTTTTTCCCCTGACTTTGCAGAGCCTTTTGATACACATTTGCAAAGCTGCCTTTTGGGAGGCTCAGTCTCCCTGTGTACTGTGTTGTGGAGATGCTGAAAAGAAGCCCGTTTACTGTGTATGTGTAAATAACCTGGTAACTTGGGTTTTGGGCCAGTTTCAGCTAATGTTCACATCCAGAGCAGCTTTGCACAGTAGACAGACCCAAGGATGTGGAGGGGTTTTGTTTGTTGGGTTTTTTTTGTAATTAAGAACTGTAAAATAACCAGGGTGCTCCCTGTGTACACCAGTGTAAATATCTTTGGTAACTGAAATGTACTTTAAGAGAACAAAATCTGTAAATAAACTGATTTATAAATTAATCTTGTTTCCTGGTTCTTTATAAAATGGAGCTTTATAATTACCCAAATGGTTGCTAATTCTTACAGTGTCCTGGAAATCATCTGTTGTTGTTCCCCTTTCTGTCTGATGCCGTACTTGGGATGCCAATCACAGTCCACAAAATCCCATTAGAGTTGCCTTAATTATAATTCATAACATTATTAGATATTTCCTTATTTTTAAAGCTGAGTGTTGATAGAACCAGAAAATAGTATTGTGTAATCATTGGAGGAGTGTGCTGCATAATCTCTGTAAGTAAAGTTACTCCTTGGACATACTTACTTAAAACAGGTTTCTAAAACTCAAGGTTTAAAGCACTGGGGGTGGGGGTGCTATTTTTATGCAAAACAACCATCTTGGAATTAAATTCATCAAAGTCTTGGTCTTACTTTGGATCCCTCAGGCTCCTAAATTGTTACAGCTGTATAGAGCTGCTGTTACCAGCGCTGATCACTTCTTCACCGAGGGGGCAAATGTTGCTCCTTGGAAACTTCATGTATTGGTGGAACTTTGCTAAATCTTTGCTGTTTTCAAGAAAAGAAAACACACAACTATGCTTTAACATGTGAAAGGTCACAGAGCTCTCTAACAAGACTGCCTAATACTTCCAGTGCCAAATCAGAGGCGTGCACACAGGTGGTGAGCAGGGGCTGGTGTGAAATGTGTAAGGCCAGGACTAAGTGTGTTCATTAAGTCTCCTCAGTGCCTACAGCTGCTACTGCTCCTGTACTTCAGGTGCATTTTGGTACCATTTATTAATGTACAGCCCAGCAGAAAAGGCTTTGCTTTCCATTCACTACAGACATCTACAAAACCCAATGTTGATCTTTGCTAGAAAAAGTACACTGCTTTCCAGCTGTGTAGCAGTCTTCTCCTCGCCACTCTTCTCTACCTGAGCAAGACATGTGCATTTAAATGGGGGGAAAACAAAGCCACTGCAAAGGCATTACTCTCTGCTGAGCAGTTATTTGCTCTTTCCTTTTCCTTAAGAGAGGTACCTCATCCTGGAGGAGAACCTGCTGCACTCAGATTTCCATTACAAAAGGAGCTTTACTTCAGTCCTGCAGTGCCAGTAGCAGCAGTAATCCTCAGCAGAGCCGTTCTGGTAACACCATCCACAACCTTTGTACAGAGAAACTCGTCACAGCCCTCTGAGCTCTGGAGTTGAACCAGCCAAAGCCCAGCAGGTGGGTTGTTTGATGTCCAAAGCACTGTAATGAAGTGGTGCTGCAGCTTCTGTGCTTGTTACTGAGCAGCAGGGGAGCATCCGTGTCCCTACTCTTCCCACCCTGTAATGATTTTTCTCCATGAGTTCTCATTTTCAGACACTGATCTACTTGCAGCCGTCAGCAACCATCCCTGGAAGTGGCTTACAGTGCATTTCACATTGAGGGGGAAAAAAAATGATCTGTGCTCTCTGGCTAAAGAACTGGCTTCCCTTTAAAATGGCTCAAGTGGTGGGAATGCTGCCAAGGCACCGCTACTGCTGTCCTTGCTCAGGATGCCCAGTAATCAGCTTGATGAAGGCTCTGACTTCCTCATTTGCAAGTCTACATTGCTTTACTTGGGCACTGACTTTCTACAGTGGTGTTTGTGCAATTCTTCCCAGAACCCTTGAAGTGCAGCTGCCATTTCACCCATGGACTGGTGAAACTCCTGGGTTGGGCAATAGCAGGCAGCCACGTCCTGATGGCATGCTGGATTGAGTGGGACTGTTCTGGTGCCTCCCTTCCCAGATGCCACCCCCTCCCAGGTGCCTCCGTGGGGAGGTGGTGCCAGCTGCAGCCATCCCACATCCTAAAACGCCTGGCAGAATGCTGGAGCACTTGAAATGTTGACTCTGCACTGGATGTCGCTGTGCCCTGCCTAGCACAAGGGCTTCTGTAATGTCTGGGGTCTCATTAGCACAGCCATTAGAAGAAAAGGGGCTGGTGGGGAGCTGCTGAAGGCCGGCAGCTCTCTTCATCATGCAGGAAGGACAGGAGGGGGGCTGCTGCGCCGCTGGCAGCCAGCCTGGAGCACGGGCCATTGGCAGGCAGGAATGCAGATGAGATATAATGGAGTTTGAAAGCTTAGGACACTCTCTGGGAGGTGGGTCCTGTGGGGGAGGGAAAGACACCCTGTGAGGTCTGGAAACTGGAGCAAACAAAACCCATAGCCTCAACCCTGTGCTTTCCTGCCTCCTCCTGAGTAAGATCCTAAGGAAATTCAGGGGAAAAAAGTGAATAGAGTTGTCAGGGGGCAGCACCTCCAATCAGGAGGGTGAGATTTGGACAGGAGCATAGCAGGGCATAGCAGGCACACTTCTGCCTGCTGAGTATGCTGTGTGAGTATTGCCCAGAGCAGGTCTGGTTTGTTTCTGCTCTGAATGTTTCTCTCAGCCCCAGTTTTCCAGCCCTTTACTGCAGCTGTGCAAGATCTGCCATGTCCCTTGGGCTGTGTTCCCTCCACAATGTTGGTTTCTGGTGGCTTCCTTTTGCAGGCTGGCTTATCTGTCACTGCCCTGTGAATCTATGCTGACTCAAAGCAGGGTTTTATCTGTGAGTTTGTTGGAGGTGGAATTAACCCCAGTTCTGGGGTGTCCCTCAAAGATTTTCCTTTTCTCCCAGCAAAATAAAGGAGGCTGCAAGAGATCCTGCCCTTCATATTTGGTTTGAGGAGCTCAGCAAGGACACAAGGAGTCCAGTATCTGTGTTCTGCTGCATTTCTCTGCAGAGGTGATGGAGGAGCAAGTGCTGCTCAGTGAAACTCTGGTTGGGTACACCAGTCCTTGATAGGTGATACCTTGCTTACGTTGCAGGACTACTGCCACATCAAGAGAGGAGTGCTCCATTGTCATCTGTGTGGTATTCTCAGTTTCATGAGCTGCAATTAAGCTAGCTGCCAAATAATGATGTGGCAAATCTGGGTGGTGTGGCCTCCGATCTGCTCCTGGAAGCTGGGCAGATGAGCTAGAGAGGAAGACATCTGCTCCGTGCATCCTGGGTCATAGTGATGATTTATGACTTTAAATAGATCTTAAATTTGCAGGTAAAACATTTCCTACCCAAACATACCAGACAGCACCAGTTCCTCCCAGTCCCCCCAGGTCCCTGCGTAGAAAGCAGGCGCAATGTTGCTGCCATCCTTCTGAGCAGGGATGAATCAGCAGAGGGTGAATAGCAGAAAGGGGCTGGTACTGCTAAGTCTCTCTGCAGACACAAACTATGTGAACATATTCATCACATCCTGAGAATGTAGCCGGATTTTCTTTTACACCTGTTGTTATTATAGGCTGTTTGGGCTTGAAAGGCAGAAATCTGCTGTATCCAACCCCCTGTCTCATGTAGTCGGCAATTCCCAGCTACCACTAGGGGCTTTCCTGGTCTTCACAGGTGTGAGCATAGCAGAGCCAATGCAGGTTATGGGAAGCAGTCAGGGTTCGCATCCACTCTGCGCTATTCCCTGTCTTGGCAAAGCCATGGGAGCTGACAGCTTTATTGCACAGGCATTACCAAAGGTCTTGTCTGAAGTTGTGTCTCTGGAGGTGTGACTGGTGCCACCAGTGGAAAAGTGTCACCTGGGATGGAGTGTACCAGCTGACTTTGGCTGGCTGGGAGGTGGCAGCAATTTTCAGTTGCTCTCTGAAGCTGTTTGGCGATGCTAATTGGGGAAATGAGGCTTTTTGTTCTATTTAGAGAAGGACCACACTCCCCCCCAAGTAATTCGTCTGTCCACATAAAATGTCATTATGCTGAACCAGAAAACTCTTGACTGCTTAAGACAGAAGCAAACTGTGCTCCAGATCGAAGAGAGCTTCACTGAATTCATCAGCCCCCTCTTGTGAAGGCCGGACAGAGAGGAAAACTGCCAAGCATCCTTTGCAACAGGTATTTCTGAGGTGCTCACAGGAGAGTCAGATGCAAACTTCTCTAAATGGCCTCCAAAATGCCAGGGCCGGGTGACGGGGTTGCCATGATTGTATCATGAGTCTTGCATTGGTTGTGTGTTTTCCTTGGAGTCAGTTCCTGGAATCACACAATTAGGTAGGAACGTGTTCTTTAATTCTCAAGGAAGAAAGTCCATTTTGGGATCTCCCTATCCCTGAACCTTCACAACTGAAGGGAGCTGAGAAGATTCTGGGTTGGCTTACTTGGGCATGTTGAGCTATTGGTATGTTATAGCAAGATTCATGCTTTTGAAAAGGGACAGTGAAAGCCTTTCTCCATTTTCTTGAAGTCATTTCCAGCACTTGAAGGGCTGAATACACAAAAACCCATCGGCTCTTCCCTCGTCTCCTCTCTAACTCAGCACAGACGCAGAGTAGCTCTTTGCATCTGTGAAAATGATCCATTTTGGGTGCACAAAACAAGTTTTGCAGGGCGTAAATGATTTTGGCAAGATCTTAGCAGCCTTTGAGTCTCTCAGCCTGTTTGTGTTGCCCACACCTCATTGACTTCAAGGAGATTCCTACTGGGTATTAGCCTGGGAAAGGAGACTTGAGAGCTGATGAGCTTAATGAACTAAAGCCACCACTTGGCTGCTGCACAGGGATGTGTGCAGCACAGGAACCTCCACAGTGGGCTTTAGCCCATGGCCTTGCCACACAGGGGGAAGCACATCTCTTGCCAAAGTTAAGGATGCCGAGGCAAGTGCTGAAGGTTGTGCAGTGCAGTTTAGAACCTGCTTTGTTTTCAAGGGGCACGAGAGCCTAAATCTGTGTTTTGGGACCGGCTCATAAGCTGGGCATCTAGGGTCATGCAGCACCCACTCCCTGTGTGTTGCTGCCCACAGGCTCTGCCAGCAGTGGAGAGGTGCAAAGCATGAGAGGACAAAAAGGCAGGCAGCACTGGGAGGGTGTTTAAAACCTCCCCAGACTTCTGCTGCAGCTTTTATTTTATTTTACCTTACTTTACTTTTACTTTACTTTTTACTTTACTTTACTTTTAATTAATCTTAGTTATTCTCAAATCTGCCTTAAACTGGGTTGTTTTAAAATCTT